AATTAAATAGGTAAACTAGTAGTAGCACATTCAATGTCAATGAAAGTAAAATGTTATTATCAGGAGAGGGAGAATGATTAAATGGTTAGCAACAGCGTTCAAGACGATGGCCCCCTCCATGAGGGAACCACAGCTCAGCAGAACATCGTTGTAGCTTCTTCTGGGGGAGAAAAACAGTAAGAGAAAAATAAAGTTAACAGCTGAAATAGCAGAAATAATACAGTTAAAGAGCAAATTGTAGAAGAAAGTAGTAGAGCGTGAAAAGTGGTAATTGTGTATGGGTATAGCAGCATTGCTACAGAGACAACTCTGGATAACCTAATCTTTTAGATGGAGGCATGTTGGAGTCAGGGCAAGGGAGAGCAATCTTTACCGACTGTACACTCCACCTCCCGCTACTCCCCCACTTGTCCAGATTTAGGCTAACATCAGATTTTAACCATAGGCCCTATCAAATAAAAATGTTTTAAGCCTAGTCTTTAAAGTAGACAAGGTGTCTGCCTCATGGACTAAAGCTGGGAGCTGGTTCCACAGGAGAGGAGCCTGATAACTAAAAGATCTGCCTCCCATCCTAATTTTAGATATTCTGGGAACCACCAGTAGACCTGCAGTCTGAGAGCGAAGTGCTCGGTTAGGAACATATAGAACAATCAGATCACTGATGTATGATGGAGCTTGATTATTAAGAGCTTTATATGTGAGAAGAAGGATCTTAAAATCTATTCTGAATTTAACAGGTAGCCAATGTAGGGAAGCTAAGACAGGAGAGATATGATCTCTCTTTTTAATTCTCATCAGAACTCTAGCTGCAGCATTTTGGACAAGCTGAAGACTTTTAACAACATTCTGTGGACTTCCTGAGAGTAATGAATTACAGTAATCCTGTCTCGATGTAATAAATGCATGAACTAGTTTTTCAGCATCACTCCTGGAAAGTATGCTTCTAATCTTAGCAATATTCCGAAGGTGGAAAAAGAAAATCCTACAAACCTGTTTAACGTGGTATTTGAATGATATGTCCTGGTCAAAGATAACACCAAGGTTCCTTACTTTGTTCTCGGAGACTAATTTAATGCCATTCAGGTCAGGTGATTGGCTAAGCAATTTCCTTTGCTGAATTTCAGGTCCAAAGATGAGAACTTCAGTCTTGTCTTGATTTAAAAGCAAAAAGTTTTGAGTCATCCAATTTTTTTATGTCTTCAAGACAAGCCTGTAATCTAACTCATCTATTAGGTTCATCAGGGTTAATGGATAAATATAACTGAGTATCGTCAGCATAACAGTGGAAGTTTATCCTATGCCGTCTAATGATTTTACCAATTGTAAGCATACGTATAGTAAAAAGAATTTTCCAAGCACTGAACCCTGTGGTACTCCACAAGTAACCCTGGAGTATGAAGAAGATTTGTCATGTACGTTTACAAAATGAAATTATCAGACAGGTAGGATTTAAACCAGCCTAGCGCTGTTCCTTTGATCCCTACAACATGTTCAAGTCTTTCTAAAAGAACATTGTGATCAACTGTGTCAAAGGCAGCACTGAGATCTAACAAGACTAGAACAGACACAAGATTCTTCAAAGCACTCGCGGAGTACAGACGCTTCTCTCTTTCGCTCCCTTATCTTTTTTTTCCCAAGGCTCTTTGTCCTGTCTGCCCACAGAGCGCTTCTCTGCATTTCTTCTGAAAAACCCTATTTTTACTAACCATGGATTTGATGAATTGGTCATTCAATGCGATTGATAAGATTTTTTCAACAATGAGAACGGAACAGCGGGCTCCCACCTGTCCACAGGGGACACACCCAGTGGGATATAAGCTGGATTCCTGGAAGGAATGGAAGATCATATGCCTCAGCCAGCTGTCCATTGAGGATATCGAAGACGTGTGGATATTCGGCCTGATGATCACTGGATTTCTCCTGACTGGAGTGGGAGGATATGTGGTTTTCTGGAAATTTGGGAAGACGAGAGCGATTGGAGGGCGACCCGCACCCACGGAAAGCACCGTTCGTGTGGAGACTTCTCAGACTGGGACATTACTCAAGGTGAATCGTAAGCTGGACAATGTTCTAGCCGCAATACCGGTATTAGTGCGCAAAATGGATATCATCTCGGAGGGTCACCGGACGGTATGGACAGGTTTAAAAACCCAAAATGGGCTTCACTGAAGGACTGGAATGATCAGTTTAAAGACTGAAGGCAGAGAGGAAAATAATCTCAGCCTGACCCAAACAAAGTCATGTTATCTGAATATGACGCCCTGGTAGCCTTGAGCATAGGGATGGGTACCGAATTCTGTACTTTTCAAGGTACCGACCGAATTCCATAGTACCTACCGAGCACCGATTCACGTCATTTCAAACGGTGCCTCGTTTCGGTACCCGTCCATCATAACGAGAACTTGCCAAGACAGCTGCGCATGAGCAAGAGCGTTTTAACGTCGCTCGCTGTGAACCAGTTGTAAACAGAGCAGCATGGGTAGAAAGAACACACGCTAAAGCTTGGGTCCACTTCACTAAATGTGATGGGTAACTGGGTGATGATGAAACCAGCAACAATGATCTAAGTGAGACATCCTCATCTTAATCTGCTCCGGTAGGTAAATATAATTAGCTTGATATGTTAGCTTCCGTTTCGCTAATGGTGCGTTTGCTTTCTCCTCGAAACTCTGAATTCCCGACTAGAACAACATGAACGCGCTCTAAAGTTTGGCTTCAGGTTACTAAATGTGACGGGTGAAGACGAAACCAGCGACGATCTAAGTGTGAGGCATCATCGTTTTAATCTGCTTCAGCAGCTAAATAAACTGTTTAAGATATTGTTAGCTTGATATCTTAGCTTCCATTGCTACCATTGTTATCAGCTAATGGTGCGTTCGCTTTCTCCTCGGAAATTCTAACTTCCCAGTAGGAAAAATCAAATGAAAAAAGACGGCAAAAGGAATAAAGATACACAGTAAATTTAGTTCACAGTAAAGATGTTTGCTTCAGTTTAATTATCAGCTTATAAAACTACAAGGACGATGTTAAAATACAAACAGTTGTATGTTATTTATTGTGATATTTATCAAATATTGTTATATATTGAGAAAAAATATATTTAATTATAAAAGAGAATTAAAATAATAAACAGTCAAAAGTATCGAAAATTGGTACCGTTAAGTACCGGTATCGATTCGTAGGTACCGGTAATTAGTACCGGATCGATTCAAATGTCAAAGGTACCCATCCCTACTTGAGCGGCAAGCAACAAACCCCCACGAAGGAATGCAGACAGATGCTGTAAAAACCCGACACCCACCCCCACCCCCCACCCCGCCTTTGGATTGGTGGACTTCAACCTGGCAAGGTCATCAATCTGCTGGAGACAATGTGCTCTTCGCTTCTCCCAAGATCTCCCTCCCACCTGTGACTGTACAGCAGATGACCGCCGTGGATGGCTGCTTCCGCTGGGGGAATCAGGATCCCAGCCCCCCCCCCCCCCCGCCTTCCTATTGGAGTCTCCACCTGATCCAACTCTCATGTAACCCTCTTATCTCTATTAAGGTAGCCCAACTCGGGTTGCGAATGACCACAGTTACCAATTCTTGTCATGTGTCTTGCCCATGTATGTCTGATCTCTGAATTGTGTGTACTGAAACTCTAATTTCCCTCTGGGATTAATAAAGTATTGATTGATTGATTGATTGATTGATTGATTGATTGATTGATTGATTGAGATTCTTATCTGGGGCCATGAGAATATCATTTGTAACTTTCACTAATACAGTTTCAGTGCTGTGATACTCTCTAAAACCAGACTGAAATTCCTCAAACAGAGCATTGGTGTTTAAATGCTCACATACTTGGATGGCCACTATTTTCTCCAGGACTTTGGATAAAAATGGAAGGTTAGATATTGGTCTATAATTCATTGGGTCATCTGGATCCAGAGAAGGCTTCTTAAGTGAAGGTTAGATTACAGCAACCTTAAAATCCTGTGGTACATACCCATTTACTAAGGATAGACTGATTATACCTAGAAAGGGGGCAGTAACCAAAGGAATTGCATTTTTAAATAATTTGGTTGGGATTGGATCTAAATTGCAAGTTGAAGTTAGATGAAGCTAATATTTTTGATAACTCTGAAAGCTCAACTGGATCAAAACGGTTCAAACACAGATGAGGTTCTACAGTTACCTCTGATGCTGCCTCACTTACTGAGGAAGAAGAAATCACATTAGGGAGGATGCTAAAGATTTTGTTTCTAATGGAATTAATTTTACTTGTGAAAAATTCCATAAAGTTGTTACTGCTGAGTGAATCGATGGTTCAGAGTTATGATTTTGTGTAAGTTTGGCAACTGTACTGAAAATAAATTTTGGATTATTCTTATTCTCCTCAATTAGCGCTGAAAAATAAGCAGTTCTAGCTTGTCGAAGCTTATTTTTATAAAGCACAAGACTATTTTTCCAGGATAAGTAGGACTCCTCCTGGTGTGTAGAGCACCGTGTTCTCTCCAATTTTCTAGAGTTTTGTTTTAAAGTTCGTAAATGAAAATCAAACCAGGGAGCCAACCGCCTATCCCTAATTACCTTCTTTTTTAAAGGGGCAACATCATCTAACACACGCACGCACGCACGTACGCACGCACACACACACACACACACACACACATACACGCATTCAGGCGCATAATGTGAAAGTATAAAAGTAAACATGGTAATAATATATCTAAAATATCAAGTAAATTATTGAGTCAAATTAATCTAAATGTAAACAGAGGCCCATGTTAAGGTGTCAGAAGTAACTTGTAACTGTAAAGGTGTAGTAGTGCACAGAAGCACTGACCTGGCTCCTAGCAGCAATAGATTCAGTTCAGGGTTGGCTCTTACACGTTGTTCAGTTACTGCTTTAAATAAGTTAAATTCGTTCCAAGAATTTCGCACATTACTGAAAATGACCAATAACTTTTAAAAAAAACTATCATTAAAATGGGTTTAGTATTTCCAGTGGGCGTGGCCTTTGGGTTGTCACATGACAGCTGTGGCCGAGAAGCAGGAAGTGAGAGGGCGGTGCTTTGAAGGGCTGCAGCGGATGAAAATAAGGTAAATGCTACGTAAAATCTATACTATTTTCAATATTTATAGAATATTTTGATTACGATATCTAAACACGCAATGTAGAGTCATTTGTGAATGTAGCTACAATGCACGTTGGGCAGTTTTTGCTGATCGTCGATAGCTTAGCAATGCTAGCCTAGGACTAATATCTAACCGGAGAGAGGACAACGTTTTTATAGGAACTAGTGCTGATTCTGTACCACATACACGACCTAAGTTGCTTCAGAACCCTTTAATTCGGGGTTTGGTAGCTTGTTATTGCTTAATAGAAACATTTACTACGATAGTCTCTCAGATTCAATCTCCGGCTTTATGTATACGTTAAACAGTAAACAGTGCAGTCTGCAAAAGCACCAGTCAGTAACCTTTTCCTGTGCTGCTAAAAACTGTCAAATTGGGTTAAATAAACGACTAAAGAATTTTTCGATAGCAAAGGAAAAAAATCAAGACTTGATATAACTTTTAGGGATTTTTTGCTGAATCTCTAAATGTTTTTCCGTGAAACGTCTGATATTTTTGAAGTTTGGTTCTTGTGTTCTCTGAAGGGCCTCGCTCTCTGTAATGTTGGTGGTGTTTGAATCACTCATCCGCCCCCCCCCCCCCTCCCCACTTCATTCTGAGTTCCTACTCTGAATATGTGTTTTATTGTTAACTGGAAATCACGAACCGAACACTAGATACGTCTTGCGTTGATCAGATTCATGACTTGTTCTGTTCTGTATGACAGTACGATCCACCATGACAGCCATAAAGCACGCTCTCCAGAGGGACATCTTCACACCCAACGACGAGCGTCTTCTCGGCATAGTTAATGTCTGCAAGGCGGGAAAGAAAAAGAAAAACTGCTTCTTGTGTGCTACAGGTATGTGTGTGAAAGCTGCGGAAGCTCCTGTAAAGAACATTCATGATAAAAGGACTTTTTTTCCAGTTACCACAGAGAGGCCAGTCCAGGTTAAAGTGGTTAAGGTGAAGAAATCTGACAAGGGGGACTTTTATAAGAGACAGCAGACCTGGGAGCTCCGAGACCTGACAGTAGTAGATGCCAAAGATGCAAGCAAGGTTAGAGGTCACACGGTCTGTCATGGCGTCCCCTATTGGTTCAGCACTCTGCAGTTAGGACTGATGCATGCTCTGTTTACGTTGTAGGAAAACCCAGAGTTTGATCTTCATTTTGAGAAGGTTTACCGATGGTTGGCTAGCAGCACAGCTGAAAAAAACTCCTTCATTTCCTGTATCTGGAAGCTGAACCAGCGTTATCTAAGGAAGAAGTTGGAGTTTGTCAACGTCAACTCTCAGCTCCTTGAAGGTGGGTAAATGCTAAAACTTCAGCCAGCTCAGAGTCTGCATGCTCCTTACTATAACTTAATTGTAATTCTTTAAAGATGCATCTTTTCCCCTCAAGCTCTACAACTCTACAACCTTTTGCATGTGTAATGTGTATACCTCCATAATTTGGTAGATTTTATTTACAGGTAGCATGTTTTTAAAACTGAAAGCCTCTTCTTTGTATGTTGGTTTGTGTCAGTAGTTTTCTTTGTTAAGTTCTTTTTTTATTCTCACTCTTTTTCTCTTGATCTTTCTGTGGCCAGAGCTTCCTAAAGCTGAAGGTTGGTAGGAATAAACTTTCCGCTTGATCCCTCCTCCTACCTCTTCATTATACTGTTCATGACCCCAAGCCACCATTTTCATCAAAGATTCTAGTTTTCCTGCATTTCCTGTGATTTAAATCATGTAATTAAACATGGAGGACATAATAATACTAATGATAATTATAACATCAACTGTAACACAAACTTAGGTTGTTCAGCTATTCTATCTATTCCACATTAAGTCATGACTTAATTTTTTTGTGGCATTAGTGCACTGTACACATAGTTTATGCTCACCTCTTCTACATGTTATGTATTAAAATAGTCATAGTCTAATAATAAACACTAAATAAAATTTAGCTCATGTATGTGCTTTTTGACCTCATGCCACTGCCTGAGATTGGTTTTCATTTTGTGTTCATATCCCTGCTACATTATCATCAGATGTCGGTAATAAATGAGATTTTACGGCCTTTAGTAGCATTTCTTTAAACTCTAAATACCTTTGATTCTATTTATTTAAATCAAAGAAATAATAAAAAATAATCTGACAACAATGGCAGTGCTTCTGGTATTATCATCTGTATTCCTAATTTCACTTATTTTCATGGACTTAGAGTCGGTGCCGAGCGGTGAGAGCCAGAGTGTTGCCGGAGGCGACGAGGATGCCCTGGATGACTACCAAGAGCTCAGCACTCGTGAGGAGCAGGACATTGAGAGCATGATGGAGACGTGCGAGTACGCGATCTCTAACGCCGAAGCTTTTGCAGAGAAGCTCTTCAAGGAGCTGCAAGTTTTAGACGGGGTGAGCGAAGCAGTCACTGACGCTCTCTTTTTTTTTTTTTTTGCTAGTTTCTCAGAAAACCCAAATCATTAACGTATTAACTGCCAGCAGTTTCCGGATCAGAAAAGCCTCTCGCTGCCAGTGGTTTTGAGCGTTTTAACGGTTTTTTGAAGAGTCACAGAACGTTGTGCTCAATGATGAAATCAACTCCAAGATCACCAAAACAAAGGGTAGACTCACTTCCCACATCAGGACGGATCCGCGTGTTTCTAGAGTTATCTGTTCTTTCATAATCCGTCGTCATGGCAGATGCTTCTCCGGTTCCCACCTCACCTTTATCACAGCGGCGGCCCAAAACGGTCTCCTAATACATGGATTTTCTGATCAGGTGGTGTGTGACATGAGCGGCTGAAGATCAGCTTTGGAGCCGGGATGTTTGTTCTCACGGTGTGGGGGCTTGTTCCCACACCTGCCCAGTAATAAAATGCAATTGATGACTTTAGTTGTTGATGGCAGCGAGCGGTTGGATTTAAAATGATGACTTTAGTCGTCAATAGCAGTTAATGAGTTAACCAAAAAGGCATCTCTGGATCTGTGTCTTCCTAAAGGCCAACATCCAGTCCATCATGGCATCAGAGAAGCAGGTCAATATCCTGATGCAGCTGCTGGATGAAGCTCTGACAGAGGTGGACACCATTGAGGGAAAGCTGAGCAGCTACGAGGAGATGCTCCAGAGCGTCAAGGATCAGATGGATCAGATCTCCCAGAGCAACCGTCTCATCCAGATCAGCAACACCAACAATAACAAACTGCTGGATGAGATCCAGTTCTTAGTGGTGAGGCGCTATAACACACAGTTGTGTGTGTGTGACACTGAGTCACAGTGTGTTGTTAGATGACTCTGGTTCCTCTCTCCTCCTGTAGAACTACATGGATTTGTCAAAGGGGCACATCAGGGCTCTGCAGGAAGGAGACCTCACCTCCCCTAAAGGGATAGAGGCCTGCATCAATGCTTCTGAAGCTCTGCTGCAGTGCATGAGCGTGGCTCTGCGGCCAGGTATTGAGTAACTTCTGCAGAAATAAATTGACTTTGTAGTTTTTTTTTAGTGTTCAATCAAATGAAAGTGTACGTTACTTCCTTCAGGTCATGAAAAGCTGATGGCTGTGAGGCAGCAGCAGCTTCTGTTTGCTGAGCTGAGAGACACGTTTGCTCGCCGCCTCACCAATCACCTTAACAATGTGTTTGTTCACCAGGTGAGTGCTCAGTCTTGTCCTTTACAACCGTGTTCCTACTCAGGCTGGACAATTTCTTTCATGTGGATTTTCTGTACCTTAACTTAAAAGCAACAACATGTTAAATGCTGCTGTAGCATGACTGGCTGTGGCTGGTCACATGACCTTATGTCATTTTTATCAGCTTTGTTACACAGAAACAACAAAGCTACACAAAATATCAGATATCTGGTTTGACGTGGCTTTTTTTCTGTTTATATACATCAGAGAATAAGCACTATGAAGCTACGGGGACAGAAATCAGACTCAGCTTTTGATCAGCTTGAACAATGAAGACCTATGGTCTCCTGGCTCTTTTTTCTCCTTGTGAGCTTCCTTTTTAGCTGACGCTCTCTTCCTGGGCTTCCTGTGTTATTTTCCTAGCAGCTGTGTCCCTCCCGCTCACGACTTTCCTTGTTGCTCACTTTGAATCATCCCACTCTGCTCTCTGTCTCTGTGTCAGTTCAACCACTTCAGTCATTTCAAAATGACCATCCCTCAGTATTATAGGTCCTCCTGTCTGTCACTTCCAGTGAGTACCCTCACAGCAACCCCCCACCTGGCCTCTTCTCGCTGTTTGATCTCTCACTGCTCACTCAATGAGGCTTCTTCCTCCAGCGTTTTCTAATGCATGAGGTAGATTTCTAACTTCTTAACATCCCTTGTCTGATGAGGAGCTGATGAGGCTGTGTCCATCCTTCGTCTCCTTCACCAGCTGACTCAGCTGAGGGCTTTTCATGTTTGCGTTCTCACATGGCTCACATCACAGAAGGCTGTGCATGTCTTGTACTAAATGAAGTCAAGAACACACGTGCTAGTCCTGTGAGGGAGTAAGGGGAAGCATCAAATCCTCAGAGGTATAAAATCTGTGAGTTTGTGATAAACAGCAAGCTGGAGTGTGTGCATTTCTGGATGAAAATGGATTTTACACTCCTATAACGTGTTGTTCTTCTGACCCTAACGCTTGTTTTTCTGAAGGGTCATGATCAGAGCTCCACCTTACCTCAGCATGCAGCTGAACTCACCCTGCCCAAACACAGCCCCCTCCACAGGGACCTGCTGCGCTACGCCAAGCTCATGGAGTGGCTGAAGAACACCCACAGGGAGAAGTACGAAGGCCTGTCCAGGGTCAGTCTGGTAGTTTTTAAAAATATTTATTTTAAGAAGGAAAATCTGTGGCAAATGTATATGACGTCTGCCAAAAACATCTTACTGCTTTCCTAGTGGTTAAATATGCAAATGTTTGAAAATAGAGATGATATACCAGTGAGCCAAAGCATCAGGCCAGTGTTTACCATTTTTATATCTTACATTAGTCCATATACCTCTTTAGGAGAGCTGATTTTATAACGGACGTGCACAGGCAGCCCGGTGCTGCTGCTAAATGTTATTAAAGGTTCCATATCGTGCTATTTTAAACCTCTGAGAGCAAAGGTAGGCTCAGTTCATGATAAAAGATTACTGTTGGCACTACTGAGGTGTCACTTATTTTAAATACGAGTTATTTCCATCAGTGTGAATTTAAACCAGCAAATAAAACATGTTTCAGTGAAACTCCGCCCACGCCTACTCTGACCAAAGGGCCTACAGACGAGTCTCTTGCCGCGTTGGCTACGGTAGTTCAGAGGTCTGCCTGGCAGCTCGTGTGCTGACGTGGGTTTGAATCCCGGCGGTGTCGGCAGTAATTTATTAAGCAGTTTTTATATTTTAGTTTTATTGATTATTCCGTGAAAAACGAGAGGTATTTTTCATTAAGAAACAAAAATATCACATTCTAAAAAGTTCCAAGAAGTGGATTTTCCATGATATGGCCCTTTAAATGAAAACATCTGCCTACAAATGCTTCGTAACATTATTTTTTACAGACATTTTTTATTTACTCACTTTAAATGTAACATGTGCTCAGTTTATTGATGTAAATACTAAACAGTGCAAACAAACTAAGATTCAGCAGTTGATTAAATGTGGGTTTCGAGCACTGATGGTGGTGACGTTTTAGCATCCAGATAAGGTGGGGATCTGAAGCTGTTATCTTGTGGTGCTGGGACGCCGGTTCAATAATAAAAGCTTCTTGAATCTCGAAACATCTCGATATTTACCATAAAAGTTGGCCTAAAAACGTCACCCGACAGCTGACTATGACCTCTGTAGTTCGACATCGGTATTGACATCATAGAAACTCAAATCGGCTGATCTCTGTTGAATAATGGCAGCTACTTTGTGCTGTCCAGCTGGTATTGTGTGTGTGTTTACGTCGTACATGTGAACAAATATCCTTTCTCCTTTTCAGACCTACGTCGACTACATGAGCAGACTGTATGAGCGAGAAATCAAAGACTTCTTTGAGGTTGCTAAGATAAAGATGGCGGGTACCTCCAAAGAAGCAAAGGGAAAGTTTGGTAAGAGTCCTGCTGTGAAGCACACCTCTGTGATGGAGGTAATGTCGGCGTCTGACTGATAGTTTTCTGCAGGATCATTTCTTTTTGTCTCTAATTTATGTATAGAATATTTATGATGAAAGGGTTAAACAGAGCTTGTCATGTACAGCCTTCCCACAACATATTTAAACAAAATCATAAATGCCTCCCAAGTGTTGAAGCTGTATTTGATGTTTTATCTTTCAATAATGCTCCTCTTCCCTTTGCACCAGACGTTTTATGTCAGATCTATTTATTATCTGAATAGCAGCCTTGGTTAAGCTTTAGTCTTGGCAGAGTCATAGGAGCCTATATTAGCTTTTGTCTCAGAAAACAAAAGCAAGACTTGGTTTTCCAAAGGTTGGTCCAAACAGCTGCGCCACTGCAGAGCACACGAGTGTCTTTGTTAACTTGTGACGTCTAACATCTAGCCTCACCTCTCCCATGCTGCATGTTTTAAGCTTAACCTGTCTGTCTTTGATGCCTGCCTTTCTAACTGGCTGCAGCCACGCTTCCGCGGAAAGAGAGTGCACTCAAACAGGAAACGGAAAGTAAGTATGAAATCTGAACGGAGCCATCAGTTATCCACTGTGCTTCTCACCTGATGCATTAACACAATCCTTTCATTCAATCCTACATACCATCACCTCTATATGTAACTGCTTGGTTTGTGCTGGTTCCTCACAGTGTTGTTTAATCTCTAATCAAATGTTCTAATTAAATGCTTAACGCCAAAAGAAGCTAACAGTTTGCATTTATCCTTTCTTTTTAAACTGGGATTATAATTAAGTTTGTATTAGTTTGAATTTTTCTGGCCGTGTTCTCGCTGTGTCTTCCATGCTGCGTCAGGTTTACACGGCAGCTCTGGAAAGCTTACGGGCTCCACTTCGAGCCTGAACAAGCTGACGGTGCAGGGCTCCAACAGCCGCCGATCCCAGTCCTCCTCCCTGCTGGACATGGGCAACATGTCTGCCTCAGACCTGGACGTAGCAGACAGGACCAAGTTTGATAAGGTAATGAAGGGTTTTAAAGGAAGCTTACAGTTGTTTCGATCCTGAATTCAGAGCAGGAATTAAACTTGGGGATGTTCAACCTCAGGTGGCAAACAACAGAAACACATAACATTCCAGACAGAAATGAACGAGAACACAAGAACAGTTGGTGGCTCTGGATCATTCAGGTGGTTTTCACCAAAGACCGGGCCTGGAGGGCCGGTATCCAGCACTTTAGTGGTTTCTCTGCTCCAACACACTTGATTCAGTGGTTGAGTCACCTGTGCAGCAGCTCATCGGGCTCTGCAGAAGCCTGTTAATCACCTGCTGATTGAAATCAGGTGTGTTGAAGCAACTAAAAAAAAAAAAAACGAGCTCGATAACGGCCCTTCAGTCCTGCAATTAAACGCCCCTGATCAAAGACACCGGCAGTGGTTTCAGAGAAACGTTATTTAGACCTTTTCTAAGCTATTTGACATCCATCCTTCTAAAGTGAAAACAGTGAATTTCAGCAGAAGACGAAACAAAACGATTTAAGACAGCTGTCAGTCATTTTTGGAGCGTGTGTCACATCTCAGCCTCTTCAGCGCAGGGCCAGAGCGTGGAACACTCCGAGAAAAATACAACAATCATCTGTTATATCAGACTTCAGACCTCGTTTACCACGTTAGTCACCATGGTAGCAGCATCAGAGCCAGGGACCACAAAAGGCTCAACATAGAATAAAACACAAAAATAAACCGAAAAAGGTTATAAAAATAAACGATAAGATGAACAAGAAAAAAATAAATTGCAGTACAATGAAAAAAATTCAGGTTTCACTGAATGCTAAAGTCATCAATGGGTCTTCAGTGGTGATCTGAAAGGCGCTAGGCTGGAGTATGATGCACGTGCCTTTCACTCACTGCTGCTGTCTCTAGGGCTGTATTCATTTTAATTGCTACATTTGAACTTATGTTCTGAATGTTTTTTTAAAGACCAAATTGTGTTTTCTTTGTGTGCAGATATTTGAACAGGTGCTCAGTGAGCTGGAGCCTCTGTGTCTTGCAGAACAAGACTTCATCAGCAAGTTCTTTAAGCTGCAGCAGCACCAGACCGTCATGCCCCCACTTGCACAGGTACATCCGTTTCTGTGTATCGGAAACTGCTGCGGCATCCAAGTAAATGATGCTATCTTACACTAGTGGCTGTTTTCATACGGTTGTGTCTTTAAATGGAGGATTCATCTTCTCCAAAAACATGATTTCAGTTACATCGTTCTTGTCGTTAGACTGGTCATTATTCTGTTTACTCACCCGGTCAGCCTGAAACAGAAGAGTTAGATGGAAGCATGCCATCAAGAACACCCCCCCAGGCAGACCAAAGATATGCTTTGTCCTCAGAGTGAGTACTTTAACATGCTAATTACCATGCTAGGTGTTAACAGTACCCGCACATCAAAGCAAATCTATTTTATAGACATTTTATATGTTATTTGTTTGGTTTTTTGTGACTAAAGGAAAGACACCGTGCGACTGATGATGAATAAGATCTTCCAGAGCATCGAGCCGGAACTCAACAGTCTCATCGCTCTGGGGGACAAGATAGACAGCTTTCATTCTCTGTACATGCTGGTGAAGATGAGCCACCATGTGTGGACAGCTGAGAACGTTGACCCAGCCTCTTTCCTCAGCACCACTCTGGGAAACGTTCTGGTCACCGTCAAAAGGAACTTTGACAAGTGCATCGTAAGCAGAGTCCATGCGGTGAAATTGTAATATTAATGTTAGTGTGTGATGAATCTACATCTGTCCTCTTGATACAGTCGGGTCAGATCAGGCAAATGGAGGAGGTGAAGATATCTAAGAAAAGCAAAGTGGGTATCCTGCCATTTGTCACTGGGTTTGAGGAGTTTGCCGAACTTGCGGAGACGATCTTCCGTAACGCAGAGCGCAGAGGTGACCTAGACAAAGCTTACGTAAAGCTCATCAGGGCTGTGTTCACGAATGGTGAGATAACCCATCATCATGTGATGTTGTCTGGAAACAAATGAGGGAATTCAGGTTGTCTTTTCAGTGGAGAAGGTAGCCAATGAAAGCCAGAAGACACCGCGGGACGTCGTTATGATGGAGAACTTCCACCACATCTTTTCCACGTTGTCTCGTCTGAAGATTTCCTGCCTGGACGCGGAGAGGCGAGAAGCCAAACACAAATACACGGACCACCTGCAGTCGTATGTAATCAACTCTCTGGGCCAGCCACTGGAGAAGCTTAATGTAAGGAGATTCGTCTTTTTGTTGTGCCACGTAAAGAATGATGTAGTTCATTTTAACAAATTTTTAAGCATATTGTAAATTTTCTTTCAGCATTTCTTTGAAGGTGTTGAGGCCCGCGTAGCCCAGGGGGTCCGTGAGGAGGAGGTCAGCTACCAGCTGGCCTTCAACAAGCAAGAGCTACGCAAAGTCATCAAAGAATACCCTGGCAAAGAAGTGAAAAAGGGGCTCGACAACCTTTACAGGAAGGTGGACAAACATCTGTGTGAGGAAGAAAGTTTACTACAGGTAAGGAGTTCATGAAATCACTCACTTCCCTGCTGACTAAAACAGCATATGCCGTGTTTTGGATGCTGGTATGCTAGTCCAGCATGGGATGTAGTTAACTGGATTTTGGACCAGCATCCAAAACTCATGCAGATTTTTCAGCAGGGTTTAACACCGATATTGCCTTCTTAATGCTGTTTTCCAACTGTTGCACTTTCTTCTGAACTCCACCAGGTGGTGTGGCACTCCACGCAGGATGAGTTCATCAGGCAGTACAAGCACTTTGAGGGTTTGATAGGCAGGTGTTATCCTGGATCTGGAATCACCATGGAGTTCACCATCCAGGACATGTTGGAGTACTTCTCCAGCATCGCTCAGTCTCACTAGTTTAGTTGCCGCTCACTGTTTCTGTCACAAGTCACACCTGCTTCCCGACTGAAGGTTTATTAAATGTAATATAACACCTTTTGGATTGTGAACATTTCATATGTGCCTGTGTTGTTTTTAAAGGGAATTTCAACACTACATGTGTGCTTCTTTTGAGCTCCTCCCTACATCTTTTGTCGTTTTTCTCTTTATGTCAATTGTACATAATAAATTTGCAGTTGAAGCATCAACTAACAGATGATTATTGTACCTCATTTGTTGAAAGAAAAAAAAATACTTGAGATAAAAATCTGTGCTTAACTCCACCCCTCGATTTTCCCACGGGCGACGCCAGTTGACATAACAAGCTAGCCAAATTGCTCTCGTCCTCCATGGTGACGAATACAAACCCCGAAACTTTGTCGGCGCTCTTTTCAAACCAGCTTACCGCGGAAACATGTTAACTCACCCGTTTATAAACACATAACGGGATTCACAAAGTAGTGTTATAGTGTGGCTGAGCCAGGACATTTGTCCAAGTGAAGATACGTTTCTGTATGATGTAGCGTTACGGTGATAAATATTTAGCTAGCATTAGCCGCCGCGAACGGGGTTTTTAAGCACGGTAAGTTAGCTCATTAACTATTTCAATGACAATTGGTAGGTACAGTAATGATAACAAAACAGCCAGTTAACTATGCTAGTATCAATGTGTTGTTTTATTTGTGTATGTTAGTAACGCTAAAGTATGTTAGCAAACACTGCTATCTTTAGTACGCCTTTGTTACCTTATAAATGCATATTTAAAGCACCTTTGTTAATTTAGGAGTTGGCAATCTCAACATCACCATCATGAACAGTAGCGCAGAGAGGAAATACGTAAACTTGCGGAAACGTCTGGATCAGCTGGGCTACAGACAACCTCTGGGGATAGACTCACTGCCACTGGTGGAGAAGCTGTTCAGGTGAACCCAGCTTTCTGTTCTCTTACCTTTTATTCCCTTTATTAGTGTCAGTAACGTAAGATGCGATTCTTCCTCTGCTGCAGTGATTTGATCCACACAACAGAGAGCCTGCGCAATGCCAAACTATCAGCAGGAAAGACCGAGAAGGAGAGCCGAAACGTCGATGCTCTGCTGGAGCCCTACAGGACCGAGAACGCCAGGGTGGTCCGGGAGAACAACGAGCTGCACCTGGAGCTTCTGAAACTAAGGGAGGAGAAAGATCAGATCACTAGAGGTTAAGAAACACCCCCTCCTCCCCATTCTTACCTGCAGGTTCTAATGACTGGTGTGTTAACCCACACCCAGCCATCGTGTCTTGGCAGAGCTCAAAACTCGCATCAGAAAACTGGACCATGAGACATCGGACCTGAAGTTCTTGAACAACCAGTACGTGCATAAGGTTCGCTGCCTGGAGAAGGACAGCAAGGCTAAAGCTGAGCGCATTCAGCAGCTGCAGGAGAAGAACTTGCACGCTGTTGTGCAGACTCCAGGTACAACTCTTGACCAGGGTGTGATCATTGATGGAAATTCTTCTACTCACCTGTTTCTTTGTGACTAGGTGGGAAGAAGCGGAGTATTCCTTTTAGACGACAGAGAATGCACACTGATGAGCTCATACCTCCCACCTCTACATCTACCTATCCTGTCCAGCAGCCAGATGATCCATACATTGCTGACCTACTACATCTGGCTGATGGAAGGTGTGTTTCGTTGAAGTTGCTTCATAATGCATGTGTGGGTATTTATAAACCTTCACATTTCCGTTATCGTCTGGACTCACAGTTAATTTGATTTGTAGAATTAATGAGCTACAGGAGGAAATCATCAAGCTCAAACTAGACCTGGAAAAGTCCCAAGAATGTGTTAAACATATAAACACTCGGGTGAGGACGGCAAAATCAGGCGTGTGGTGAGGCTTCTTTAAGGTCTAACAAGCTGTCTCTTGAGTAGGTGGAGGAACGGGACAAAGAGATTGAGCGTCTGAATCATGTACTCCACGGGGGACGCCCTTATGATGTCATTTCTCTTGAAGCTCAGAACGTCAGCAATGAGAAACTGATCGCCCATCTTAACCTTCAGGCATGCACCACTGTCACTGGAGATAAACATATTCACATAGGTGCGTCTGTCAGGGAGTGCTGGTGCTTCCTAACTGTAATCTGTGTCTTCTAGATTGAGTACTTACAGGAAACCAACAGAACTCTGGAACATAAAATGGAGGGATTGCATCAGAAAAAGAAGGACGCCTCCACCGAAGTGGCTAGTCTGTCGTTAAAGAACCTGGAGCTCTGCGAAGAGCTGACTCAGATCGATCACCTCGCTAAGCGCATGGAGATGGACAAGGAGCGGATGCTGGAAACTGCAGACATGGAGCTCCAGGAAACTAAAGTAAGAAAATAAAGTCAATGGTAAATAAACTAGATGCATTTCAGGTAAAGATCATGTTTTTAAATGCCATAAAATACACTAAAGCATCTGTTTGGTTGCAGAAAGAAATTGGAAGGCAGCAGAAAATCACTGAAGAGTTGGAGGATATTATCACGAAGGCTAGAAAGGTAAAACACAACTTTTTTATCTTAATTGTTTCTATAGTTCAATAAATTTAAATTTAACCCGTCCAGTGACATGTTTGAGTTCAGGAACAGTCTGAAGGAGAATTTGAAAGAGATCGTCTCAGAAATCAGCTGGTGGAGCTTAAGGAACAAAACCAGAAGCTGGAGGGACTTCTGAACTTCCTGGAAGAGGAGAACACCAGGCTGCAGGACAAAGTGGAGAAGATGATGGCCGACGGTTAGCAATATTCTGGGATACCTCGGTTATTAATACTCAGATTTCATCGTCTTCAAATTGAACTTGTGTTTGTTGATGCTTGTGTTCCAGACAAAGAGCTGGTTCTGGAGTTGGAGACGATGCGTGCTGAACATGGTGTCTGTAGAAGAACGCACTCCCCATCGCGTCTAGATGCTTTTGTCAAGAGTCTTGAGGAGGAGAGGAATTACTATCGCCAAGAAGCTGAGCGCTACAAAAGAGTCCGAGGACTGAGTCCAAGTTGCAGTCCAGACAGGGGCAGGAGTCCAAAGTCCAAAAAGATCAATGTAGGTGATGGAAAAAATAAATGTGGTCGCTTTTTTGTTTCAGTGAAAATAACTTTTATTAAAATTATGCCAACAGGTTTTTTAACCCTCCCACTGTCTTCATGGGTGACCCCCCCCCCCCCCCCCAAAGAAAGTTGACCACTGAGCAGGATTGATGGTTTATCCCTTGAGGTCCACGTGGCAGGGGTGAGGTGGGGCTCACTCCTCACCCCTGCCACGTGGACCCAAGAGATAAACCATCAATCCTGCTCAGTGGTCAACTTTCTTTGGGGGGGGGGGGTCACCCATGAAGACAGTGGGAGGGTTAGACAATAATACCGACCTACTTTCAGGGCCATGTTTCAGAGGAACTGCTCCGTATAGTTAAAGAACGGGATGAGCTTAAAGTGGCCCTGTTGGAGTTTGAGAAGCACGTGGAGGACATTCAGAACAATGTGAAGGCCCTCTGCAGCGAGAGAGACCACTTAAAAAACCTCTTAGTAGAGGTACGACTTCAGCCGCCGTGAAGTTAGAATACAAATAAAACCCCCAACGTTCGCACGTCTAAGGAGCAGATTCTCGTTTGTTTAGGCTCAAGATGACTCGAAGCTGGCCCGCAGCGCAGGTGTGTCTGCCGATGCTTTGCAGGAGAACGACTCACTGATGGCGAGACTAAAGGTTAGTCTGAGTAAAGCTTACCTGAAACCAGTCCAGATTAAAATACTCTGTAAACGTTTTTATTAGCATCGTCTGGTTTTAGTCGGCTTCTAACTCGCATGATTAGATTAGTAACCACAAAGGTTTTATCTTGACTTTTTGAGATGAGTTAGATGCTATCTCAGTTTTTCTTGTGAGTTAATGAAAAAAGTCACATTTTGTTGCCAAAAATTCACTTTTTTAGCTGAAAAAGCAACTTAAACAGATCTGTATGTATGTACGTCCCCTCAAGTGTAGCATTAAGTAAAGCAGTGCTCGTAACTGACCATGGTATTAATGTGGATCTACAGGCAGCCCAGACTTCAGCTCTCACTGACCAGAGGAGGATTCTGGACCTGGAAAATACCGTCAAGAGTGTAAGTGAGCCTCTTAAAGATATCTCCTCCTGTCAGGTGCTTGTTGTGTAACTGTGTGTGTTCACTCTGACCTGTACGACTTTGGTGTGTAGCTGGAGCGGGAGAAACTGGACCTGCAGTCGCAGGTGTGTCTGCTGAAGGAGAGCCGGGATGCAGCGGAGAAGGAGCTGAAGGTCCGGTCCTCGGTTCTGGTCCACAACACAGAAGAGGTTACCCATCAGAGGGCCGAGGCGAACTCTCTCAGGTTTCACCTTTCACTCGTGAATTATCCCCCCCCCCCCCCCCCAACAAAAGACTCTACCAGAGATGTTTATATTTAAAAACTTTTTATAGTTTTAATAATTTTTGTTGTGTCGGCAAAAGTCTTGGTATGAACTCTTGAACTTTGTGTTTCTTTTTCCAATTAACCCAAACATCTTAACCCTCCCACTGTCCTCACGGGTGACCCCGTGAGGAAAGTTGACCGTTGAGCAGGGTTGATGGTTTATCCCTTAAGGTCCACATGACCGGGGTGAGGTGGAGCTCACTCCTCACCCCTGCCACGTGGATCCAGGGATGAACCATCAACCCTGCTCAACGGTCAACTTTCCTGGCGGGGTCACACCCGTTAGGACAGTGGGAGGGTTAAATGAGATTATGGTTGGCTGCTTTAGTTAGAGGTTTTCACCTACGCTCCGTTTTTATTTCCCTCCTGTCTGTAGGCTGCTGCAGGAGCAGATGGAGCAGTCCCTGTCCGATGTCCAGCACAGGCTGTCTGTGAAGATGAAGGAGCTGCACGCAGCCCACGAGCAGATTGAGAAACTAGAGGAGCAATTAGGTGAATGCGCTTGATGTTCAGTTATTGTGCTGTCTCTCTGTGTTACTGCACCTCGAGGATTTGCTCATGTATTTATTTGCATCCTGTCAGGAGAGCTGAGTCGGCAGAGCTCTAAACACAAGGAGGAAGTAGCTGGGCTTCAGAAGTCCGTCTCCGCCCTGGACAGAGAGAAGGATGCTCTGCAGGACGAGGTGGATCACAAGACTGAGAAACTAGCTGCTCTGCAGGAGGACCTGTCCCAGAAGGTAGCTCCCAAACAGACATCAGGTTACAAGTTCACTTTTCAAATCAGTTTTGTATGTAAGTTATGTAAACCCGTGAGGAAATCAAACATCCTTAGGTCAACCCCTTATAAAGAATTGTTTTATCTTTCTACCAGTCAAACGGTGACTAAAATCAGCCAAACATCTATTGTTGGAGTCATTTTTATTGGCACACAGCCCCAGGTGAGATAAGGAGATGTCTCGGAAACAGGAAGACAAAATGTTTCAGGTCAGCAAACAAAGTTGACCTGAGAAAAAACAAAATGCTGTTTCTAAATGAATATTTTCTCCATTAAGGGAACAAACAAACTAACGTGATCCTGTGTGAAAATGTCATTGACCCCTACATCACTGTGGATTAATTAAGTTTCACAAAATGTATTTAATTCAGTCACAAAGGAAGGTTTTCAAGTATGAACTTCATATTTGAGGTCAAAGGTCAGTCATTCTCCTTCAGGGTTTTCTGTTAGAGAGCAGAATTCATGGTTCCATAATTTACAGCAGGTGATCCAGGTCCTGAAGCAGCTCCAGACCATCACACTACCACCACCGTGTTTGACTGGTACTTTTTCTGAAATGCAGTGTTCGTTTTACTCCTGATGTTACGAGACACACACCTTCCAAAAGATCCAGTCTTGTCTCATTAAAACCTCAAAAGTCCATCTCTCTTTCCTGCTATCATCGAATCATGATGACCTCTGACCTTATTCATAACCAAGCGCTTTAGAAGTGCTTGAGTTTTTTAAGAGTGGTTTATGGTTTGCTGCTTTTTGACATCGTTTAGCCATCCTAAAGTTGTCAGACATGTTCTACTGAAGCGATTTCTTAATTCTACACATCAGCTCTGATGTGACTAGTGGAGCTGAACTCGGCTTTCTAAATAATCTAAATAAAGGTGGTCAGGTATTTTTTATGCTGCATATAGATGAAATGTAAAAGATAAGGATATGTTGTGAGGCTGGGCGACATGACCTAAAATCAGTATAACGATAGATTGAGGATTTCACATGGATGACGATAAATGGATAACTGCAGAAACAAAAGTTGTCCACTAGATGGGGCTGTCACATGTTTACGTGCCTGGAGGTGGTGCAGCTTAAAGGAACAAGAATTTTGCCAACCGACACACATCTTTTCATTTTGTTATCATCAAATTTATTGACATAGGAACAATTATCTCTAAGAGTCAAAAACTTCGATTTTCAATTTATTGCCCATCCCATTTCAGTGTCAAGAGTCATTTATTGTCATATTCTCCACATGTGCAGGACATACAGAGAAATGAAATTCAGTTTCAGCACACACAATTCAAAGATCAGACATACGTGGGTAAGACACATAACAAGAATTGGTGACTGCGGTCATTCGCAACATGAGTCGCGCTACCTTAATAGTTAGATGAAAAGGGTGTTACATGAGGAAAGTTCAGGGAGGGGAAAAAAAGGCATTAACAGGGTTACACCAGCAGGGTGTAGCACTCCAATGCAAAAAAAACACCCGACATGGAAGCACAGACAGCACGTGTACAACATCAGAGTCCAATGGGGAGGTGGGGGTGGGCGGGATCCTGAAGCCTCCAATGGGAGCTGCCACTGCGGCGCATCGACCAGCTGCAGAACAACAGGTGGGAGGGAGAGATAAGGAACAGAGAGCACATTGAGGTCCCTGCAGATATAGCCTGAAGGGAGAGGGTGAAGGTCGGGACACAGCATCTGTCGGCATTCCTCCTTTTTGTGGGGGTGTGTTGAGGCAGCCTTGAGAGGCTGCTATGGCGTCGGATAAGGATAAACATAACTTTGTTTAGGGTAGACAGAGATAATCTTCCCCTCCGTCTTGTAGTCTCTAAGTGGTCATTCATGTCCACCAGTGAAGCCAATTTTACATTCCACATCCCCGCATCGTCCGGCGACCCTCTCCGAGATCAAATCCATCTTGCGCACTAACACAGGCAACGCCGCAAGGACATTGTCCAGCTTACGGTTCACCTCGAGTAACGTCCCAGTCTGTGAGGTCACCGCCCGAGCGGCACATTCCGTGGGTACGGGTCGCACTCCAATCGCTCCCGTCTTCCCAAATTTCCAGAAAACCAGATATCCTCCCACTCCAATCAGAAGAAATCCAGTGATCATCAGGCCGAATATCCACAAATCTTCCACGTCCTCGATGGACAGCTGAGAGAGGCACACGATTCGCCAGACCTCCCAAGAATCGAGTGCATATCCCGATGCGAATGTCCCCTCGGGACAGGTGGGAGCCCCCCTTCTCCGTTCTCATCGTAGAGAAAATTTTGTCAATCACGTTGAATGACCAATTAATTAAGTCCATATTTCCAAAAAGAGAGTAGTGGTTTCAGTAGAAATGCAGAGAAGTGCTCTGTAGGCAGACGGGACAAGAGCCTTGGGGAAGCCGATAAGGGAGCTGAGAAAAAAGCGTCTGTACTCTCTGAAGGCTGGAGAAGAAAGACATTTCAGTGTCAAAACATCTAAATCTGTAACAAGTTCTGTTTCAGAAGAAAATGACAGCAGTGAGAGGCAGGCAGGGGACAGAAAGTCTTGATTTATTCAGCATTTCAGGGTCAGGAGACAAAGACTCCCTTAAACGAACCACTTATTCATCTTTTAACCACGTTGATGACATGACTTCTCTGGAGTTCTGCTGGTGGTTTATGTTTGGAGCGAGGCTGTATGGGTCACTAAAGCAGATGTTTGGGCTTGTGTTGAAACGTTTAGCTTAAAACAGAACGCTCTTCATAATGCTGCAGGAGAGCTGAGTACTAATGAGGTATATCTGTCGTCTGTACAGGAGAAGACCCTTGGGGATGTGAGACTGACGGTCAAAAACATGGAAACCTCGCTAGCGTTAGTATCACTTCCTCAGGGTGTTCTTTTCTTTTCACTAGTGAATAATATGCTGAACAGCCACAACTTTCTCTTCACTGATAAAATCCAGTCAGCTGCAAGGAGCGTTAAACAGCCGTGAACGGGAGACGAGCAGTCTGAGGAGGCAGCTGGACACGTCCCAGGACGAGCTGGTTTCCCTTCGGAGAGACAAGGCGGTCATAATCCGAGAGAACAGGAGGCTGCAGGAGGACCTGGCCACGATGACCCGGGAGAACCAAGTAAAGAATTACCTTCTTCTCTAACTATGGAGTGCTGGTGTTCTGTGAAACCAAAGTGTTCTTGTCGTTCTTCAGACTGTACATGCAGAAATGGAGGAGGCTTTGCATGAGAAGGACGAGTTGAAAATGAGGGTCCACGCTTACATCTCTGAAGTGTCCAGAATAGAGAAATTGATTGCTACAAAGGTACAGCGGTGGGGGTTCATAGCCCTGGATGAGTGTGATTTACTGATTTGCCTTTAGACTGATGGTTGGGCGTTGGCTTCCAGGAGCAGGAGAACAGGGATCTGCTGGAGAGGTTCAGGACAGCCAACTCTGAGGTGAAGGAGCGGGAGCAGAAACTGCAGCAGGCTGAAGGCCTCAATAGCTCCATCCGCCTGGAGCTGCTCTCCTCAGACACAGAGCGCAAACAGCTCAGAGGTTCAGTCAGACAACAGGAAAGAGAGCTCCAACAAGTGAGGCAGACGATTAGAAAATGCTCCTGATTAAATCTGTAGTATTTGAAGTCTTCCCTCACTTTTTGCATCAATGTCTTAAAGTGTCTCACTCTGCTGTGACCTCTAGCACATGGAGGCCCTGCAGGCTTATGAAGCCCAGGTGTCCTCACTGGTACGTGGGATGTCCCGACTGGAAGAGGAGCTACGCAAAGCGCTGGAGGAGAAAGCTGCTGTCCTGTCAGACCTGGCGTCTGTTCGGGAGCTCTGCGTCAAACTGGACTCTGGAAAGGAGCTCACTGCTCGCCAGCTCACCTCAAAGAGCATGGACCTGGAGAGGGTGAGGCCTTCTAAGAGTTGGATCTCTTTTTGCAGAAAACACGTTGCATTCCTCTGAGTGTGTCTACTTTCTATTCTTACTTAGGTCACTGGAGAGCTGGAGGACGTTCGCTCAGAGGCGGAGCTACTGAAGAAGCAACTAGCCAGTGAAAGGCTGACCGTGCGTAACCTGGAGACGCTTCTCTCCACCAACCGGCAGAAAGAGTTTCAGACACACCTGACAGCTAGTGAGCGAGAGTCGGAGCTGAAAGTGCTGCGTGACAGGCTCACCCTGGCTGACAGCAAAAAGTAAAACCGAAATCCAGTTTACTGTACTGGTTTAACACCAATTAAAAGTATTTCTTCAAAATGACTCGTTCAATACATTTGTGCATGTGCTAAAAGTGCAGAGCATGCTAGAGAGGTGTCCCAGCTCCGCGGCAAGGTGTCCCAGCTGCAGACAGAGATGGACGTCCTGAAAAGACAGCTAACTACAGAACGCTTCGAACGGTGAGCTGTTTGTTTCATCACCACCGGATCTGCTCAGTTTTTATTTATAGAACACGTCTTTTAGCACAATCCGTAGATTTTTTATAGACTTAATCTGCAACCTCACAGGAAATGTATAGCAGGAGCTACATTTATCTGATCAAGCGTTTCATCTGGAACAGACGTGTGGTTAAACTTGCTGCAGAATCCTTCAGTCAAGCATGTCCTAATGAAAGGCCTGATGTTTCTAGAAGGAATGAATGCGCCCCCCCCCCTCTGTCTTCCATGTTTCAGCTTGAAACTAAAGCATGTGTGGAGAGGGTCTGGTGTTCACGCTGTTCTGGTTAAGTCTTAAACATTAAAATCCTCATCAGTGTCACACCATCAGCACATGGATGTGAATGACTGCTAACACCACGTTATAGCACAGTGGAATGACTGCTAACACCACGTTATAGCGCAGTGGAGTGACTGCTAATACCACGTTATAGCACAGTGGAATGACTGCTAACACCACGTTATAGCACAGTGGAGTGACTGCTAACACCACGTTATAGCACAGTGGAGTGACTGCTAACACCACGTTATAGCGCAGTGGAATGACTGCTAACACCACGTTATAGCACAGTGGAGTGACTGCTAACACCACGTTATAGCACAGTGGAGTGACTGCTAACACCACGTTATAGCACAGTGGAGTGACTGCTAACACCACGTTATAGCACAGTGGAGTGACTGCTAACACCACGTTATAGCACAGTGGAGTGACTGCTAACACCACGTTATAGCACAGTGGAATGACTGCTAACACCACGTTATAGCACAGTGGAATGACTGCTAACACCACGTTATAGCGCAGTGGAGTGACTGCTAACACCACGTTATAGCGCAGTGGAATGACTGCTAACACCACGTTATAGCGCAGTGGAGTGACTGCTAACACCACGTTATAGCGCAGTGGAGTGACTGCTAACACCACGTTATAGCGCAGTGGAGTGACTGCTAACACCACGTTATAGCGCAGTGGAGTGACTGCTAACACCACGTTATAGCACAGTGGAATGACTGCTAACACCACGTTATAGCGCAGTGGAGTGACTGCTAACACCACGTTATAGCGCAGTGGAGTGACTGCTAACACCACGTTATAGCGCAGTGGAATGACTGCTAACACCACGTTATAGCGCAGTGGAGTGACTGCTAACACCACGTTATAGCGCAGTGGAATGACTGCTAACACCACGTTATAGCGCAGTGGAATGACTGCTAACACCACGTTATAGCGCAGTGGAATGACTGCTAACACCACGTTATAGCGCAGTGGAGTGACTGCTAACACCACGTTATAGCGCAGTGGAGTGACTGCTAACACCACGTTATAGCACAGTGGAATGACTGCTAACACCACGTTATAGCGCAGTGGAGTGACTGCTAACACCACGTTATAGCACAGTGGAGTGACTGCTAACACCACGTTATAGCGCAGTGGAGTGACTGCTAACACCACGTTATAGCGCAGTGGAGTGACTGCTAACACCACGTTATAGCACAGTGGAATGACTGCTAACACCACGTTATAGCGCAGTGGAATGACTGCTAACACCACGTTATAGCGCAGTGGAGTGACTGCTAACACCACGTTATAGCGCAGTGGAGTGACTGCTAACACCACGTTATAGCACAGTGGAATGACTGCTAACACCACGTTATAGCGCAGTGGAGTGACTGCTAACACCACGTTATAGCACAGTGGAATGACTGCTAACACCACGTTATAGCGCAGTGGAATGACTGCTAACACCACGTTATAGCGCAGTGGAGTGACTGCTAACACCACGTTATAGCGCAGTGGAGTGACTGCTAACACCACGTTATAGCGCAGTGGAGTGACTGCTAACACCACGTTATAGCGCAGTGGAGTGACTGCTAACACCACGTTATAGCACAGTGGAATGACTGCTAACACCACGTTATAGCGCAGTGGAGTGACTGCTAACACCACGTTATAGCGCAGTGGAGTGACTGCTAACACCACGTTATAGCGCAGTGGAGTGACTGCTAACACCACGTTATAGCACAGTGGAGTGACTGCTAACACCACGTTATAGCACAGTGGAGTGACTGCTAACACCACGTTATAGCGCAGTGGAGTGACTGCTAACACCACGTTATAGCGCAGTGGAGTGACTGCTAACACCACGTTATAGCGCAGTGGAATGACTGCTAACACCACGTTATAGCGCAGTGGAGTGACTGCTAACACCACGTTATAGCGCAGTGGAGTGACTGCTAACACCACGTTATAGCGCAGTGGAGTGACTGCTAACACCACGTTATAGCGCAGTGGAATGACTGCTAACACCACGTTATAGCGCAGTGGAGTGACTGCTAACACCACGTTATAGCGCAGTGGAATGACTGCTAACACCACGTTATAGCGCAGTGGAGTGACTGCTAACACCACGTTATAGCGCAGTGGAGTGACTGCTAACACCACGTTATAGCGCAGTGGAGTGACTGCTAACACCACGTTATAGCGCAGTGGAGTGACTGCTAACACCACGTTATAGCACAGTGGAGTGACTGCTAACACCACGTTATAGCGCAGTGGAATGACTGCTAACACCACGTTATAGCACAGTGGAGTGACTGCTAACACCACGTTATAGCGCAGTGGAATGACTGCTAACACCACGTTATAGCACAGTGGAGTGACTGCTAACACCACGTTATAGCGCAGTGGAATGACTGCTAACACCACGTTATAGCGCAGTGGAGTGACTGCTAACACCACGTTATAGCGCAGTGGAATGACTGCTAACACCACGTTATAGCGCAGTGGAGTGACTGCTAACACCACGTTATAGCGCAGTGGAATGACTGCTAACACCACGTTATTGCACAGTGGAGTGACTGCTAACACCACGTTATAGCACAGTGGAGTGACTGCTAACACCACGTTATAGCGCAGTGGAATGACTGCTAACACCACGTTATAGCGCAGTGGAGTGACTGCTAACACCACGTTATAGCACAGTGGAGTGACTGCTAACACCACGTTATAGCACAGTGGAGTGACTGCTAACACCACGTTATAGCACAGTGGAGTGACTGCTAACACCACGTTATAGCACAGTGGAATGACTGCTAACACCACGTTATAGCGCAGTGGAATGACTGCTAACACCACGTTATAGCGCAGTGGAGTGACTGCTAACACCACGTTATAGCGCAGTGGAGTGACTGCTAACACCACGTTATAGCACAGTGGAATGACTGCTAACACCACGTTATAGCGCAGTGGAGTGACTGCTAACACCACGTTATAGCGCAGTGGAGTGACTGCTAACACCACGTTATAGCGCAGTGGAGTGACTGCTAACACCACGTTATAGCGCAGTGGAATGACTGCTAACACCACGTTATAGCGCAGTGGAGTGACTGCTAACACCACGTTATAGCGCAGTGGAATGACTGCTAACACCACGTTATAGCGCAGTGGAGTGACTGCTAACACCACGTTATAGCGCAGTGGAATGACTGCTAACACCACGTTATAGCACAGTGGAATGACTGCTAACACCACGTTATAGCACAGTGGAGTGACTCCTAACACCACGTTATAGCACAGTGGAGTGACTGCTAACACCACGTTATAGCGCAGTAGAGTGACTGCTAACACCACGTTATAGCGCAGTGGAATGACTGCTAACACCACGTTATAGCACAGTGGAATGACTGCTAACACCACGTTATAGCGCAGTGGAATGACTGCTAACACCACGTTATAGCACAGTGGAGTGACTGCTAACACCACGTTATAGCACAGTGGAGTGACTGCTAACACCACGTTATAGCACAGTGGAGTGACTGCTAACACCACGTTATAGCGCAGTGGAGTGACTGCTAACACCACGTTATAGTGCAGTGGAGTGACTGCTAACACCACGTTATAGCACAGTGGAGTGACTGCTAACACCACGTTATAGCGCAGTAGAGTGACTGCTAACACCACGTTATAGCACAGTGGAGTGACTGCTAACACCACGTCATAGCACAGTGGAGTGACTGCTAACACCACGTCATAGCGCAGTGGAGTGACTGCTAACACCACGTTATAGCACAGTGGAGTGACTGCTAACACCACGTTATAGCACAGTGGAATGACTGCTAACACCACGTTATAGCGCAGTGGAATGACTGCTAACACCACGTTATAGCACAGTGGAGTGACTGCTAACACCACGTTATAGCGCAGTGGAGTGACTGCTAACACCACGTTATAGCGCAGTGGAATGACTGCTAACACCACGTTATAGCACAGTGGAATGACTGCTAACACCACGTTATAGCACAGTGGAGTGACTGCTAACACCACGTTATAGCACAGTGGAGTGACTGCTAACACCACGTTATAGCGCAGTGGAGTGACTGCTAACACCACGTTATAGCGCAGTGGAATGACTGCTAACACCACGTTATAGCACAGTGGAATGACTGCTAACACCACGTTATAGCGCAGTGGAATGACTGCTAACACCACGTTATAGCGCAGTGGAGTGACTGCTAACACCACGTTATAGCACAGTGGAGTGACTGCTAACACCACGTTATAGCACAGTGGAGTGACTGCTAACACCACGTTATAGCGCAGTGGAATGACTGCTAACACCACGTTATAGCGCAGTGGAGTGACTGCTAACACCACGTTATAGCGCAGTGGAATGACTGCTAACACCACGTTATAGCGCAGTGGAGTGACTGCTAACACCACGTTATAGCGCAGTGGAGTGACTGCTAACACCACGTTATAGCACAGTGGAGTGACTGCTAACACCACGTTATAGCACAGTGGAGTGACTGCTAACACCACGTTATAGCGCAGTGGAGTGACTGCTAACACCACGTTATAGCGCAGTGGAGTGACTGCTAACACCACGTTATAGCGCAGTGGAGTGACTGCTAACACCACGTTATAGCGCAGTGGAGTGACTGCTAACACCACGTCATAGCACAGTGGAGTGACTGCTAACACCACGTTATAGCACAGTGGAGTGACTGCTAACACCACGTTAAAGCGCAGTGGAGTGACTGCTAACACCACGTTATAGCACAGTGGAGTGACTGCTAACACCACGTTATAGCACAGTGGAGTGACTGCTAACACCACGTTATAGCACAGTGGAGTGACTGCTAACACCACGTTATAGCGCAGTGGAGTGACTGCTAACACCACGTTATAGCACAGTGGAGTGACTGCTAACACCACGTTATAGCGCAGTGGAGTGACTGCTAACACCACGTTATAGCGCAGTGGAGTGACTGCTAACACCACGTTATAGCGCAGTGGAGTGACTGCTAACACCACGTTATAGCGCAGTGGAGTGACTGCTAACACCACGTTATAGCGCAGTGGAATGACTGCTAACACCACGTTATAGCACAGTGGAATGACTGCTAACACCACGTTATAGCACAGTGGAGTGACTGCTAACACCACGTTATAGCGCAGTGGAATGACTGCTAACACCACGTTATAGCACAGTGGAATGACTGCTAACACCACGTTATAGCACAGTGGAATGACTGCTAACACCACGTTATAGCGCAGTGGAATGACTGCTAACACCACGTTATAGCGCAGTGGAATGACTGCTAACACCACGTTATAGCACAGTGGAGTGACTGCTAACACCACGTTATAGCACAGTGGAGTGACTGCTAACACCACGTTATAGCGCAGTGGAATGACTGCTAACACCACGTTATAGCGCAGTGGAGTGACCGCTAACACCACGTTATAGCGCAGTGGAATGACTGCTAACACCACGTTATAGCGCAGTGGAGTGACTGCTAACACCACGTTATAGCGCAGTGGAGTGACTGCTAACACCACGTTATAGCGCAGTGGAATGACTGCTAACACCACGTTATAGCGCAGTGGAGTGACCGCTAACACCACGTTATAGCGCAGTGGAATGACTGCTAACACCACGTTATAGCGCAGTGGAGTGACCGCTAACACCACGTTATAGCGCAGTGGAATGACTGCTAACACCACGTTATAGCGCAGTGGAGTGACTGCTAACACCACGTTATAGCGCAGTGGAGTGACTGCTAACACCACGTTATAGCGCAGTGGAGTGACTGCTAACACCACGTTATAGCGCAGTGGAGTGACTGCTAACACCACGTTATAGCGCAGTGGAGTGACTGCTAACACCACGTTATAGCGCAGTGGAGTGACTGCTAACACCACGTTATAGCACAGTGGAGTGACTGCTAACACCACGTTATAGCACAGTGGAATGACTGCTAACACCACGTTATAGCACAGTGGAATGACTGCTAACACCACGTTATAGCGCAGTGGAATGACTGCTAACACCACGTTATAGCACAGTGGAATGACTGCTAACACCACGTTATAGCACAGTGGAATGACTGCTAACACCACGTTATAGCACAGTGGAATGACTGCTAACACCACGTTATAGCACAGTGGAGTGACTGCTAACACCACGTTATAGCGCAGTGTGAGTCAAGGTGACTGAGCTAGAGCCGGACACCACAATCGGCATTTCATTCTCTTGATGGAATTAACTGAAGGACCATCAAAGTCTGAGTCTCGCAGAGGTTGCACGCCATCTGCTCCACACGTTTACTGTGGCGTTTTTAAACTAGCTACAGTCATTGCAATATGATGTAAAACTACCCTGAAATGTATGTACTGCCCTCTAGTGCCAGGAAACTGCACACTGCTACTTTAAAGTCCTTCTGGCGGTTCAAAACACGTTTTAATAAACACTCACATAGAAACATTATCGTCATCCTGTTGTGAGTAAATACCTAAAGCATTGTGTAGAGTACAACTGTGTTGTTGATCAGCAAACTAACAGTAAAAATGTTCCCGTCTTCAGTGAAAGAGCAGTTCAGGAGCTTCGTCGACAGGGTTTATCGTTCTCGTCCCTCCAAAGCTCCTCCCCCCTCAGCGTCGCAAGCACGTCTCACCACACCACCTCAGAACGCTCGATTCTCCGCTCCACCGACAAGTCATCAGACTAGTAAGGCAAATATTTTTAATAATGTCCTAAAATCTGGCTCCATTGTGCTTCAACTTCTTACCTTTTATTTTTCTCTTTTCCAGGAGTGTTAGCTTCAAGGATTAGTGACCCTGCAGGAGAGTGAAGTTGCTGTAAGTCCGAAACCACTAAAAGGTTAAGAGTGGCGCTAAAATGCAAAAGCCCTCGGACACCTCGGTCTTCTCTCCAACCCGCTTACTCAGGATATTAAAACATACACTCCTTTAGAAATAAAGTTCTCCTATCCAAGATGTACATTCCTCACCAACTCCGCCTACACTTTACCCGTCTGGTGTACGTCAGCTGATAAAAACATCTCATGTTTATCATTTTTAAGCACGTCTGACCCGAAGAACTGTTTTATAAGCAGAATGTTTTGTATAATGTCTAATGTTCATGTTTCATTTTAAAATGATTAAATTATTCACAAAAGTAAAGGCGTACAAAAACCAACGCGTACAGATAAAATGTGAATTTGAGTTTTATTTTATGAAAAATAAAAAATTCTAGAAAAGGTGGTATAAAAAAAAGAATGGAGTACACAGTGTGTGTTTTAGCCGGCTAAACCACAGGATGTCCACTGAGGCCATTAAGCTTTACCTCATTAAAGGTGTGCAGCACACTAATGTCCATGTTTTTGTTATTTAACCTGGACTGGGTTACTCTGTGTAACAGCTGAGCCGCTTTCCGTTTCAAGCTTTAGTGGTTTTGAACTCCCAATGTGCAGACACCTGAAAAATATTTAGAGAGCTCACAAAATACTGTTTGTCCTCTAGGATAAAAGTACATCTCTAAATATATATATATATATATCCAAACTGTGAAGCAGCACCTTTTAATGCCGGCAGTGTTGAGTGGTTGTGTTGGGGAGAGGATAAGCAAAGAGGGAAAAGTCTAAAATATACTTTGGCAAGAGTTCCCTGAGCAGCTTCTGTGGCAGAGAGCATAGATAGTAGTGTAGTGTTTGCGTGGTGACAGGCTTGTACCACGTTTGCCTCTCTGGGAAGTGAATAAAAGCAGGCGCCCCAACACGCTGGAGCACGTGCTCCGCGTCCTTTTCAAGGTTCTCATAGGAGCCGATGAAATTGTAGGAAACGGCACAAGGCTGGCACAAGTTGTACACGGGCATCCAGTGCTCATTCATGCGCTCCACGTCCTCGTCCAGCAAGTAGTGGACAAACTCCCCAAAGGTCACATCGTCTCCTTTTACAGACGGGTTCTTAGCGTGGCCCTTTCTATATCGCTTAATGATCTCCACCCCGTACTTTTTCTGGTAGGACTCGATCTCCCCAAACTTGTTCCTGTATGCAGAAAGCAGGCGCTCCATGGGTTCTCGCACAAACATGAACTTGAAGTAATGCGTAAGGCGGTAGCGGATCTCTTCTGGCTTCAGAGCGGACAAGAAGAGCAGGTCGCTGCGATGGTCCATCTTGATGTTGACGTTGACGTTCTCCAATGCTCCATTCAGCACCTTCAGAACCCTCTTCCAATTGGAGCAGGCCACTTTAGGGACGTAGCAGTAGAGGAAGCGGTACTCGTCATTCACCAGGATGTGCTGCAGCAGCGTCTTCCTCTGCAGGGGTGTCAGAGACCAGATGCTGTGGGGCATGTTCTTCTGGCTGCACATGGTCTTGATGGTCCGGTTGCGGATCTCCTGAAGAATCTGAATGTGGATGAGGCACAACAGTTTAAAAGTCAAGCTGGAAGTTGGCCAAGTGTTTACCTAAAGTCTGCAGAATAAGCTTTGTAACTGGCTTCAATCTGACACGGATTAGTCTAATCTGGTCAGAACTGATCTCTATTTCTGGGAATTGAGGCTATTCAAATGACACTTGACAATATCTGAATTTCTGAACTCTTTAACTGGGAGAATCAGTTATATTAGTAGTACAGATGAATATTTTAACATTGCTGGTGTGGATCAGAACCCTGATGGAGCGTTTATACCTTCATGTTAATGTACTGGACTAAAGGGCGGAAATGACGCATTTTCCTAAAACGTTTAACAAAAATCAACTCAGTCTGGTTGAAAGGGTGACTGGGCATATGGCTGTTTAAACACCACTGGCTGTAGTTTACTCGGGTTTCCCCTGCCCTGGCGGTTTACCTGGGACTCCACGTCCGCTCCATCTGAGCTTTGTTTCCCGCTGTCCCTGAGGAAGTCCAGCCGCTTACCGTTACCTCTGGGAGAAGGCGTCTCCACGTTGTTCAGCATTCCTTTCTCTATCATGAGCAACAGGCCTCCGGACGCAACGATTACCAGAAACGTTAGCACCGAGGGCAGCACGGCGGAGCTGCGACGGACGGATCTGGAGCTCACCGTACCCCGGCTGAAGCTGAGGCTGCTCCGCGCCCCTTCCCCCCTCTTCACCCCGTAGTCCTGCCTGCGTGGAGGCATGCTTCGCGTCCTTCTGTCCTGCCCGTGTGTCCGGTGTCTGCCAGCTTTTAAAAGTTAGTCTGGAACCGGCGTAAGAAAGTTTTCGGTCGGTAAACTACCACGTACCCACTCTTCTCTAATGTAAGTTAGCTAAACAACCATAGAAGCTAATCCGGTCTAGACTTTCACAATAAAATGTTTTAGGTGTTTGCATTACATAAGTAAAGTAAAACAAACTAAAATATATCGTGTGTAAAATATAATTTTCTCTGACTTTTTACTTGCAATTTTTAATCAGCAAATTACATCACAAGAACGTTTTTTTAAAAGAGCAAGTCACCTCCAAATCAACTTTTTTTTTCTGATGAACTATATACAGGTCCTTCTCAAAAAATTTGCATATTGTGATAAAGTTCATTATTTTCTGTAATGTGCTGATAAACATTAGACTTTCATATATATTAGATTCATTACACACAGCTGACGTAGTTCAAGCCTTTTATTGTTTCTAATATTGATGATTTTGGCGTACAGCTCGTGAAAACACAAAATTTCTATCTAAAAAAATAGCATATTTCATCCGACCAATAATAGAAAAGTGTTTTTAATACAAAAAAAGTCAACCTTCAAATAATTATGTTCAGTTATGCACTCAATACTTGGTCGGGAATCCTTTTGCAGAAATGACTGCTTCAATGCGGCGTGGCATGGAGGCGATCAGCCTGTGGCACTGCTGAGGTGTTATGGAGGCCCAGGATGCTTCGATAGCGGCCTTAAGCTCATCCAGAGTGTTCGGTCTTGCGTCTCTCAACTTTCTCTTCACAATATCCCACAGATTCTCTCTGGGGTTCAGGTCAGGAGAGTTGGCAGGCCAACTGAGCACAGTAACACCATGGTCAGTAAACCATTTACCAGTGGTATTGGCACTGTGAGCAGGTGCCAGGTCGTGCTGAAAAATGAAATCTTCATCTCCATAAAGCTTTTCAGCAGATGGAAGCATGAAGTGCTCCAAAATCTCCTGATTGCTAGCTGCAGTGACCCTGCCCTTGATGAAACACAGTGGACCAACACCAGCAGCTGACATGGCACCCCAGACCATCACTGACTGTGGGTACTTGACACTGGACTTCAGGCATTTTGGCATTTCCCTCTGCCCAGTCTTCCTCCAGACTCTGGCACCTTGATTTCCGAATGACATGCAAAATTTGCTTTCATCCGAAAAAAGTACTTTGGACCACTGAGCAACAGTCCAGTGCTGCTTCTCTGTAGCCCAGGTCAGGCGCTTCTGTCGCTGTTTCTGGTTCAAAAGTGGCTTGACCTGGGGAATGCTAGCCTAGTGAACTAGACCAAATTCTTGCTTTGCAAAGTTTGGTCTAGGCATGCTCCATTGGAACCTCGGCAGCTCCTACCAGGACTCTGGCTAGCCAATCACAGCTCTCTAGAGGGGTTTCAAACACATAAAGAGATGTGATTGGTCCATAATGGTGGGCCAATCATAGTGCTCTATCTGCTTAGTGAACAAATCACAGAGCCTTATCCACTTTGTGGGCCAGTCAGGGCACTCTATATGCCTGGTGGGTGGGATGATGCAACAGAGTGAAACAAGAGTATGTCACATTCATTGTCCAGTGGAATGCGGAGATCATTTGAAAGACAACGATAGAACCCGCCCCACAACCGAGAGCCGTCAATGGAGCATGGCCAGACTAAATAATACATTTATTTAGTCTGGCTTGCCAGGCTAGGGGAATGCAGCACATGTAGCCCATTTCCTGCACACGCCTGTACACGGTGGCTCTGGGTGCTTCTACTCCAGACTCAGTCCACTGCTTCCACAGGTCCCCCAAGGTCTGGAATCGGTCCTTCTCCACAGTCTTCCTCAGGGTCCGGCCACCTCTTCTCGTTGTGCAGCGTTTTCTGCCACACTTTTTCCTTCCAACTGAGGTGCCTTGATACAGCACTCTGGGAACAGCCTATTTGTTCAGAAATGTCTTTCTGTGTCTTACCCTCTTGCTTGAGGGTGTCAATGATGGCCTTCTGGACAGCAGTCAGGTCAACAGTCTTACCCATGATTGCGGTTTTGAGTAATGAACCAGGCTGGGAGTTTTTAAAAGCCTCAGGAATCTTTTGCAGGTGTTTAGAGTTAATACGCTGATTTAGATGATTAGGTTAATAGCTCGTTTAGAGAACCTTTTCATGATATGCAAATTTTTTGAGACAGGAATTTTGGGTTTTCATGAGCTGTACGCCAAAATCGTCAATATTAGAAACAATAAAAGGCTTGAACTACTTCAGCTGTGTGTAATGAATCTAATATATATGAAAGTCTGATGTTTATCAGTACATTACAGACAATAATGAACTTTATCACAATATGCTAATTTTTTTAGAAGGACCTGTATATGTGTGTCTAATCGTGCCGCAGACACGTGTAGTCAGTAGTTTTGCACTTTAGTGGATTTCAGTTAAATTTTTGATTTTCTGCCTAAAACTGTCAGAGTTGTGCCGTTGTCAGGTAAAAACTCTGCACTGCATTTGAATTTAAATCTGCCATCGCTATTGGCTAAGAGGTACCCTAGCGTGTTAGCTGGTACCATATGATGTCACAATGTCGTTGCGAGCCTGTGTGTGTGTGCGTATTTGTTAGCGGCTCCGCCCTCTCGGTCCTTGTGATTTTTTTCCTGCTGGAAGTATTGATGTCATTTTCAGCAAAACTTCTCCTGTAACACCAACTTCAGACTTTTCTCTCTGGATTTTCTGCACCTTGACAAACATCAAAGGCATAAAGATAGCCACTTTGTCCAGCACGTCCCCATATCTTGAATCCCCATTTGTGAGGTTTTGCAGGCATGTAGACATGCAAATGAGACTTTCCCTTGAAGGACACCATAATTTCATCAACAGCACGGCAATCTTCTGGAGGTATGCAGAGAAACTGTTCTCACACACAGTTGTTGTAACATGGCCTGAGCTTCCACACTTCATCTTTCTTTGCATCATCAGAGACAGTGAGGTTGTCCTGAAAAAGAATGAGTGTCAGCAATTTCTGAAATCGATTTTGAGACATCACCTCACAAACTGCAGGGAACGTTGTCTCCATCTCCCAGTAGGCTCTCACACTGGACATCTGTACTAACCCCAAATGCAGGTACATGCCTAGAACCTGCTCTGTCTCTTTGGCGCTTGTGTTTACTGACCTGCCCTGTTTTTGCACACTGTACAGGTTTGTTTGTTCGGCAATTTCCCGTAACATTTCTTCAGTGACAAACTGTTTGAAATACATGTATGGTGTCCAGTCACACCTGTCCTCTGTGCGTTCACCAGCATATCCAAGAAAATCGACAGATGGAGCTTGATATTGGTTTTTTTTTTTCATCTATGTTCTCTTCTTTTTGCATTGCCCTTCACTGACTCCTTTCTGCTTGTGTCCTGTTTTGTTGGAACCTCAACATCTGTGCTTGCCCTGGCTACACTTTCCTCCTGATTGTCTTCTTCATCAGAGCAATCTGAACTTTCATGCATGTCCTGTGGAGTCCATTCTTCATCCTCATCCTCACCTTCTGCCAGCTGCTCTATGTCACTTGTATTATCATCCATTATCATGCTGATTATATTTTCAATGTACTTTCTCTTTCTCTCTTCTCCCTCAAGTCTTTTTGACATCTAAAATAGGCACATAGGTCAATATAGACATATTTCAGAGGGACAGTTATTGTGGAAACATGCAAAATATATTTCAGTGATTGATTTGATTCTATGAGTCATCAAAATAATGTGTAATTGTATTTTAGTAAGTATTGTGTAAATAAAATTAGAAAAATGTTAATTTAGGGAAAAAGCATATTTCATACCTGCAGTATCAAATTTGATACACTTTAACACGGTTCGTTTGTAATGTAAAGAATGAGTAACTTAACAAAAATGCACTTTTTCAATAGATAAAACACTTATTTAGAAAAATTACTTAGAACTCTGATGTTGTTCTTACCGTATCTTCTCAAAAATTAGCAATGATTATCCTGAAAATGCAAATGGATCATTTACTGGGAGCAGCCGTGTTGTAATGGCAAATTAGCCCACCAGGGGGCAGAATACATGTATCAGATAATACACAACAGGTTCTAAAAGAGCAAGTCATCCCCAAACCAACCTTTTTCTGATAAACTATATAAATGTGTGTATAATCGTGCTGCAGACAGGTGTAGTCAGTAGTTTTGCACTTCAGTGCATTTTAGTTAAAATTTTAATTTTCTGCCTAAAACTATCAGTGTTGTGCCGTTGTCAGGTAAAAACTCTGCACTGCATTTGAATTTAAATCTGCCATCACTATTGGCTAAGAGGTACCCTAAAATGTTAGTTGGTACCATATGATGTCACAATGTTGTTGTGAGCCAGTGTGTGTGTGTGTGTGTATTTGTTAGTGGCTCTGCCCTCTTGGTCTGCTAGGCAACAGCATTTCTTGCATTTTTCAAACAGGAAAGGGGAGTGGAGTAATCCTCTAAGGGGTGACCTGCTCTTTAAGGAAAGTGTTAATCATGTTGATGAGATAGAGGTCTCAGAATCTCATGTAGCAAATCATTAATGAAATGTCAATAAATGACCAACAAAGGATAGTAGATGCAGCCTCTAAAGAGCAAATAACTGGAGGAAGAATGAAATGAAGCTTTGGCATGTTAGCATGTTCGAGACTGCGAAAGATCTCCGTGTTTTTTTGTTTTGTTTTGTTTTTTGGCAGCAGAATTTGCAACAGTTTGCACAACAAAGAATGTGAAAATCTTCTTAATTTACTCAGTAAAATGTTCAATCTTTTGAGTTTTAGGCTACAAATGTAAGAAATAACGATGTTGAGCTTCAGTGCTTCTTTATAAATTAAGAGAAATGTATTAAACAACATTATTAAACTCCAATCAAAATAAAATCAGAATAGAATAGACTTTATTGATCCCACAGTGGAGAAATTCAGTTGTCAATGCAGCTTATACACTTAGAGAATAGGAAAAAAACAATACACACAGGCTGCTAACCTTTAGCACTAAAAAAAGAATAAAAATGGAGTAAAAGTTGAGTTTCCACGAAGAAACTGCATAAAGACAGACATAAAACGTGTATCTGGGTATTTCACACGTATATCTGTGATGTAATTGAGTAACAGGATAGTGACGGTAGTTATAACAGCTGTTATAACAGCTATGGAGTCTACTGCAATGGGAATGAAGAACTCAGTTTGGTTTTACATCTTGGATGTCTCAGGAGCTGGCCATGGCCTCCACGGTGTGGGGAGTGGTTTTCCAAATTGAAGTATCAGAATTAAGACAATTTAAAGTTATCTCAAATTTGAAGGGGTTTTAAACGTTGTATTAAGCCAGTGTGTGTTTGGATTGCTTTAAAAAAGCAGCAGCATGTATCTCCTTCGGTGCGTCAGTGTTCCTGTTGTCTCTGGAACATGATCACACTCATGCAGTCTATCTGAAAATCAAAGGGACTCGTTAGAGATCATCACCCTGCTTTTATTTTGGTCATTTGCTTCTGTTTTACTGCAATCTGAGCAGCTTTACACACAAACATGTAGCTTAACCATAAATGTTTAGATTTATTCTAAATCATTTAGATTTGAAAACAGAACATTTGAGCTCATGCAGCAGGAAGTGATTAGTTCATCCCTGTGGAAATAAGCTCCGTTGTTGAATTAGCCTCCTGGGATGACCGCTGCGTTTCCATTCATCTTTCTTCTTCTTCTGTGAGTTGAGACGAGCGCGCGCGCTCTCTCACTCCCGCGCTCGGATCGTGACGCGCGGCGCCGCGCGGTGCTCCTCCAGCCACGCCCTCCCTTCTCTCTTTCTCCATCTCCGTCTCGCACGCGTACAGCTGTGCGGGACCGTCTCGCGTCGGGTACCCGCAGCATCAGCAACACAAAAGGCATCGGAGCAGCCGGGGCCTGCGGGGTTTCCTCGGCGGCGGAGGAAGGCGGCTTCAAGCACAAACAGGTGACCGGATTGTTGATTCTGTTTACGCGCACTGTTTTCCTTTTGCACGACGCTTGTGACCTTGCCACTGTAGCCCACTACTCCCTCACCAAGGACCTGCCCGGATCTTGTGCTCCATCCATCCCAGATGTGCGTGCGCGTGTTTGTGCGTTCTTTAAATGAACTGCGATTTGTAATTTGGTGCGACTGTAAACGCGCACACGCCTGTCAGCAGGCTAAATCAGCATTAATTATGACAACGAAGAAAAATCCTAACAAATCCGCATAAAGAAGCGCTCTTTGGTGCATTCTGCGGGGATATCTGAGGAAACAGAGGTCGTATTCTTTGTTCTCCGTCCGCCTTTTTAGAAGACACACATACGTAGACCGTAATCCCTGTGCGGCAGCGTCCGCTAATTTGCCGTTAACGGTTCGGCTCCGCATTGATCGGTGCCGTTCAGGTCCACTGATGGTCTTTCACCGTAGCAGGGGCTGGCTTTCCCTCCACGAGGCTCGTCATCAACACGGCCATCTGACATGTCATGTTGGAGACAGAAAACTGTGCACAGGCCGTATGGCGAGGGCCTGCGCGTGCAAAAGTGAAAATAAAATGGATTTGTGTTTTGCTTCATTTGAAGGTTTTTTGATTCGATGCATTCTTGCTTCAGTCAGCAGACTTTGCTGCTGAGACGCAAGCAGGAGGAATAGATGGATGCTGGTGTTTTCCTCATCGTGGTGCTGACTGATGCTCAGACCCAAACTGTGTTATTTACACCATGTGCGTTTTGCTCAGATGTCATTTCCTGTGTTAACCTGACAGAATTTGCACCACGTGATTCGTTCAGTTGTCTGGGATGTTCTGAATCAGATCTCTCCTGGAACAATTATGTCACACCGTCCAAACTTTTTGCTGGTGTTTCCTCCTGTTTTGACTTTTTTGTCACCAGTAAATGTTTCACATCAGTATTTTAAAATCAGACAAAGGTAACCAAGTAAAGAGGAAATGCAATTAGGATTTCATTTATTAGAGAAAAAGCTGTCCACCACTAGTCATTGCTCCCGTGTTGAATCAAGAATTCTTGTGATTATGAGTTAAGCACCAGACACACCCAGGCCTGAAGACCTGTAGGAAATCTCATTCAATTGCCTAAAAGATTTCCAAAAGCAACACGTCACGACTTTTTCAAGAAACACAAGAGCTAAATATTGTGACTTTTGGGAAAACATTATTTCTACTGATGAGACAAAATAGTTTGTTTTCTTTTTGGAAGGCGTGTGTCTACATCTGGAGTAAAATTATGACTGTTTCAGAAAAACATACCAGTAAAAGATGGTGTGTGAGGATCTGGGGCTGCCCTGCTGCTTCAGAACATGGACCACTTGCTGTAAATGATGGATCCATAGCAAAAACATCTTGAAGGAGAACGTTTGACCCTATCGTTCCTGCTGGAAATCACTCCAATGGGGCTGAATCACAACAGTCCTGTAAAGATTAATGTCCCATTAGTTGTCACACACACACTGGTGTTTGTTCTCCACATTTGACCCATGCCCTGGGGGAGCGGTGAGCTGCAGACCCAAAGTCCTCAATGGTGATGTGAGAGATTCATCAGTAATCACAGCTGCAACTCTACGCCAATCTCCTGCATTAACTTCTGATTTGATTTGAAAATCTTGATAGATCTACGCAACACCGTCACTTAACATTCGTCCTTGACTCTTGATGGGGAAGGCCGTTGTTTTCACATCCAGGAAACCTCAGAGAACGTCTTGGATAGTAGAAACTAACCGTTAGCATAAGCAACTCCACCATATGGCAGAACTCTTCCAGGCTTGTGGTATTTGTCCAGATAAAACATCCACGTTAAAAAGTCAGTGGTAGAGTTGTGTTGCTGTTAGCCAATCCAATGCCAGATGTCCAAATATCAGAAACTGAGTCCAAATCCTGCCGTCTGAAGCTACTTTCCCCTCTAGCTGAATTCTCCGTGCTGAAACAAGCACATCTGAGCCCCCCCCGGCAGTTATGGTACGGGTAAATGACCCGCACCACCTTTAGAGTCAGAGGACTCCAAAGCGCTTTACAGTGTATCATTCATCCATTCACACACTGGTGGTGGTGATCTTCAGTGTAGCCACAGCTGCCCTGGAGTGCACTGATGGAGTTGAAAACTTTTTTTCCTGCATCTGTTGTATCTGAGTCGTAAACCGGTCGGTGACCTCCGATGATGCAGTAGCCATAAAGCTGACGAGACTCATCCAGCTCTCTGTCTGCAGATTATTTATAGAGCACCGGTCACCTGGCTGCATTAGCACAGTGACAGAATCACACAAAACCACTAAATGTCCTGCAGAAGCGTGTTGGCATGTAAATAAATGTACATCAAGTCCCTTTTTAACCAGATTTTAAATGAGCTACTAGTGTTCTGAATATTCCTTGGAAACCTTTAAAATATTGCACACAAATGCTAAAAATATAAAACCTTTTCAGTGCAAACCTACGCTTCCACATTCCTACACTTCACAGAGTAGTTACCCACTGAAGCAACGCATAATTACCCTCTAGACAGGCTCTTATGAGGACTGTCCTCATTTTTAACTTCTCTGATGCAACGATCAGCTCCTTGGAAATTTGCTCCCAGGGTGAATTTATACTTGCTTACATAATAACTCATCTTTTCCATAAATAAAACACCTAAACAAGTGCATTCTGATTATTTTACGGAGATATTTCAGGATTGTAGAACAGGAAAAAGTCAGTTTATTTGTAAAAATGATGATTTGTGAGTTTTTATTTTGTGTAACGTTTTACTTTTTGCACTCTTAACGATATTTCATCCACATACATTCACACCCTTTCACATAATTGTCCATCAGGAATTTTCATGAACATTCTGACCGGCAGCTTTGCTGCATGTTGGAGGGGCTGTCACAGCATGAATGAGCAATCCCGTTTTTTATTCCCACAAACAAGCCATTAGGAGTGAATGGCTGCTGCTTTCTGTTTGTGCCGTGTTCCTCTGGGTTCCTGTTCCTTCATGCTGTCAGTCAGAAAGCAGCCTGTCTTTGAAGTGCTATGCGGCTCCAATATAGGCAGCAGCCAGGGTGGCAAAGCCCCATCATTACCATATCCCTGTGAGGCTGCAGTGTGATGCTGCCAAAACTGGAGGGAACGGGGTGGGGGTGATGCTACGCAGCCACCGTGAGTCCAGATCGGATTAAACATAACCGATTTTAGGGATTTCATTTTGGTAGAAAATCTACAAAAAGTCACAGAACTAAGCTGCTGTTTTAAAGGTGACTGATGGGTGTTGTCAGAACACGGGCTCTGTGTGTGTTTACTGCGACGCTGAAGGCTGGAGCTTCTTAAATAAACTACACAATGCTGTTGAGGAGCGGTGGTTTGTTGCATTATCATCACACATGTGCATCAGACTGTTGACCCACAATGAAAGCCTTTGTGTGCACCAGCCAGTCCGAATGCTGAATGCCACTCTGTTCTCCTGCTTGGCCCATCTGACAGCTAAACAAAGTGTCACTTTGTGCCTCCTAAGCACAGCAGCACTAACGGACACAGGAGAACCTTCATCTCTCTTCACTCAGCCTGCGACACACCTCCTCTCCTCCGACTGCACATGTGCCCATCTCCATCACACATGTGAATCCCCACGCTGATGTCGACTCTCATTCCAGCAACCCCGTCCCGCGGCTTACAGGGGGATGTGAAAATGTTTAGATTTTTTCCCCCGAGTTGCTCTCTCTCTCTCTCACACACACACACACACACACACACACTGCTGCTGACACCTGACTCCAGGTAATGCCCTAGATCCACAGCGACAGCAGGCAGGTGGAACGGCCACACACTCCCAGATACACTCGCACACGTAAAAAAGGACAGGGCGGTAAGAAAACATTTTTATACGCTGAACTGAGTTCAGATCTAACACGTTTGAATTTTACATGTTTATCTTCACATTAGGTCTCGTTAAGCTGAGTGGATAATGGTTTTCTTCGTATAAAACCCCAGCTAAGGTGGTTTACCGAAGCCTTTACTAGATGTTCATCGATAGAAGATATGGTGTTAAGTCACAAATGTTTACGTTTGTTTCCCCAGGAGGTAGCGGCAAGCCTTTTGTCCACGATGTTGTCTGTTAACCGTTAGCTAATGTGGAAAATATAACTGTGGTCATGTGATACATGTTGTATGTGACACTCAAATCCATTGTTTCGCTTCATTCACCCGTTACTCAGAGTGCACAAATACCAACGTTCGCCTCCAGCCTGCTGGGCCTAAATGTTGGTCTTGATATTTTTCATTGAACTTCTAAGTGTGTGTTAGCCACACTGGAAGGCATCGCTGCAGAGACGAGGACGCTGTTCAGGTTGCATGTATGAACTAAGTCATCCCCTGCTGTGAAGGCAAAATATGAGCAAAGCTGGTTTTATCTGTGCTTGTTGGTCTGATTGTGCATCGTTTTATTTTCAAGATTTGACTCAAACAGCTACAATTTCACCATTTCTCTCCAAAATAGCATCCTAATTTAAAACGCTGACCTGGACGGTCAACTTGCATTCCTGCAGAAATATCTTCTTTAATTACCCGTTGCATTCAGTAATTTTGATATCATTGATAAGATGACTGATGGCACAATCATAGTGAACATCCAGTAATGTCCTACCTGTGCAGGTGGAGCCTGGTGGAGCTGCTGGCAGGATGCATTACACCTGTAAATAGTGACAACTGTGCATGCATCCAGGTGTTTCCTCAAAAAGAAGTTTAGTCTGTTGCTGTCAGATTTTCACACAAGGGTGTGAAAAATCAAAAAGACACTAGCTGTACTCCTACACGTGCAGTCGTGGTGTTATTCTACAGTTAAGAGTTTCAGAAGGTGAGCTATGGAACAAAGAGTCTCCTGCATGTTTCTGACACACAGGAGGCGGTTTCTGTTTCACACACCGCTGAAAAGAAGCCTTTCTGTCTTGTCTGCACACATCGCCTCAGCCTGAAGTGAAGTGCTGGGTCTGATGTGCTGAACAGAGCTATTTAAGGCGGAGCTGTTTACTGCCATAGAAAATGATTCGCTTTGTTGGATTCTTTATGGGTTTTGCAGATGTGGTCATTGCTGCTAACCTAGAGGAGATCCGTTTTTCCACAGGCAACATGCTGCGTAGAAAACAGGCTGCATTAGAATAAAAGCTGTTTTTCTGATGAATCAGCAGCATTTATGCTAACTGCATGCTGCCACTTGCAGTGAATGGTTTACAGTACGACAGCGTTTAGATGTAAACGATGCAAATATAATTTTTATTAATATTCTGAAAACAATCATGCACTTAACCTAAAACAGAAGCTTGGTTTCTGTTGCCTGAATTCAGAAGTGCTGCAGGTTATGAGACATAAATCAATGGATGATTATTCGTGTCATGCTGGCTCGTTTATTGAGCTGCATGCTGACAACTGTGACACCACAGAGAGAGAAGTTTTATTCAGAGAGAGAGGCATTGTTTCAGACATGCACAAATACACCCTTTCTTCTCATTTCTGGAGAATTGCACGACTAATATTACAATTTTTGTCCGTATGATGCAATAAAACAAGCTCTGGAATACATGGACATTATATTGTTATTTACAACCTCTGAGTGTCTTAAATTTATTTTTGCAAGAGCTGTAAGCATTTGTTTTTATAGTAGTTGTGGGTTGCCAGTTTGAATCCAGGCTCTGCTATGTCAGTCGTCTCCTTGCACAAGATCGCCCCCCATGTCTGCTGGTGGTGGTCAGAGGCAGCTGTGTACGCCAGCCTTGCCTCTGACAGTGCGCCCCAGGGCAGCTGTGGCTACTAGCTCATCACTATCAAAGTGTGAATGTGTGTGTGTGTGAATGGATGAACAGTACATTGCAGTGTAAAGCACTTTGGAGTCCTCTGACTCAGAAAGGAGCTATATACTGTAAGTGTGAGTCGTTTATCAACATTTGTTGTCATTATAACTCTAAAACAAACTCTTATATAGCGACAGATGCTTTGCTGTCACAGTGCATTCACATTCCTTACGGGCACAATCATTAGGGGACATTATATTGTGCACAGTGTTGTACTGATCGATTCACTATGTATAGTAAATTGTAAAAAATAAAATGCTGCTTGTCTGCTACTAATGGACTGCACTCACAGAAAATCTACACTTTTCAACTAGAGTTGCCATTTTATTTTAGCATGTTTGCAAATCTTCCTTAGATACTGTGACTTAATTTTCAGGCTCAATTGCCCATTTCAAGTGTGAACGCTTAAACATCCAAATGCAGCCTATGAAAGTGTCAAAGCATTAGACGTAGGAGACACGTGTGAACTGAGATGCTGTAACATTTATTTGTCATATTTTTGTCCTGAGAGGATGTCTGTGAGAAGTGAAATAATCCCTTCAGCAGATAAATCTGGAATGACGGCAAAAGGAAAAAATTGAAACCAAAATACTGTTTAAACTTTAAATTTAAAGAGCAAGTTCACTGAGATTCCATGTTTTTTTTTAATGATCAGCAACTCAGAATATTTCATGCAGACAAAACATGAAAATAGTCTCCTACACCTGTATCCTGCAGTAGCATCTGACGTGCAGAAAAATGCTCGGTTCAGAAAATCCTGACAGACCTACGTCACACTGTCACCCAACCTTCATGGACTCACCCATCTTGGCTCACGGCGGCGAAGACCGTTGTTGGTTTAGAGTCCAGAAAATGACAGAGAACAACTTGGCTCATATATGACAAATGGCCTGTATTTGTATAGCGCCTTCTTAGGGTTCTACAACCCCCCAAGGCGCTTCACAACACAGCCAAACTCTGGTGATGATGAGCTACGTAGCTACAGCTGCCCTGGGGCGCACTGACAGAGGCGAGGCCTGCCGAACGCACCGGCCCCTCCGACCACCACCAAGGTGGGTTAAGTGTCTTGCCCAAGGACACAACGGCAGCATTCTGTGGTGGGAGCTGGGATCAACCCTACAACCTTCCAATTACTGGAAAGCCCGCTCTACCTCCTGAGCTACTGCTGTATAAGCTAACTGGTATAGCATTAGCAACTCTACCACACAGCAGTACTCCTTCATATTAATGTTGCAAAGCAAACAAAGTTAGTGATAAAGTTGCGTTGCTGTTAACCAATCAGAGGTGAGATGTCCAAATGTTAGACAATGCGACTCCAGATCCTGTCGTCGGACTCTCCCCTCCAGCTGACTCCTACATCCTCTAGCAGGTGCACCAGAGCTTTTTTCCAGAAACGATTTACAAGACATGAGTTTTTTATTGGGTTTTTTTAATCAGAATTTTTACTTTCAACACCTTTATGATCATTTTAAATCACTTTTTATCTTTAACTTTGGTTCTTGGGGAGCCCCTTGTGATTTTTATCTTGAGAGGTGCTGTATAAAAGATTGTTTCTTCTTCATTCCTGCTAGAGACCACTGCAAATGTATTCAAACACTTGTACCACCCAAAGATTATCAGTTTAAACTTTCTGGGTGTCCTGCACAATTAGAGGAAATAGAAGAACTTGCAGCAGCAGCTGTCCTCTCAGCTCCTCTGGCTCTGCCAGTGCGCTGTGATGCAGCAACTATCAGCTTTTCTGGTTGAAGAACACTTTTGATATCAACATTTCTGCTAGGAATGACTTTACTCTGTTCTCACCAGTCGTGCTTCAAACCGAGCAGATGGTAACTGCTGATGCTTATTTCTCATATTTAGAATTATCCAACGCTTAGCTAAAAGTCAAGAACTCTTGGACGGTCCCTTGTTGTCTCCATGCTCGTGACCTGCAGCTGCTGCTAAACTAGCAGCGTCAGGAGAAACGGCAGTCAGTGCAGGACTGTTTGTTGTGATCAGGATTTTTTGTCCGCTGTGCTGCGAAGCCTTTTCTGGCCCTCCTGGCTGTTGCATGTTGTCGTGGAAACCAGAGGCAGCTCAAACTTCAGAGATTTGGATGGAGACGGTGGTGTTTTAGCGGAAGAAGCTATACCTGTAGGGCCAAATGTTCCAAATGTTTTGGTGGTGTTCTTCTAACCCTACACTTCATCACCTTCCATGGCTGTTTTTATCTGATGCTGCAGACCTAATGAAACCCTATCCTGCTGTTTTGTCTCTGTTTCCCTCATTTTCCTCCCAAAGCAGCGACGTTTATTCATCTAAAACAACTTTTTGCGATGAAGGGCAAATGGATGCTCCCTTAGGTGTTACTGCAGTGGTGCACGGCCATCCTGAGCCGTGCTGTTGAAATAGGTAAACCGTATAACGGCTCCACTGTGTTCGCCATTCTGCTTTGTCAGCCAGCTTCCTGTGCTGTAAGGTCACACAGCTGGGCCGCTACAACACGAACCCTCACCGTCAGGTTTCTGGTAGCGAAGGATGTCGAGCTGCTGGGTCGTTGGTGAACACCGTGTTACTTGGATGCAGCTGTATTGTTGTCAGACATTTCCCTGCTTCTGTAGGCTGCCCCTTCTCCCATCCCATCCCATACACACACACACACACACACACGCCAGCTCTCCTCAGATTCACTCACACTACATTTGTGTTCACACTGCCGGATATGCTTGTTTGCTCCATGTTTTTCTCCGGCTCCAGTGCGCCGGACATTTCTGCGAGAGTCTGTCTGACTCTGTCACACTCAGGAAGGACGCTCACAGCATACTGGTCCCACTGAAGGAATTGGGCTTCTCTCCAGCTTTCTCAGTACTGTCTCATACACCCTCTGGGCTTTTAACGGGCTGCACATATGCGTGAACCGCATCAGAAAACCTCTGGCTCAAGTGAAGTTCAGCAAGCAGGTGCTGGATGGAGGAGGAGGTCCTGATTTTCTTTGCTTTGTGCTTTTATTCTTGTTGATCACATGTTAAAAAAGGTCATCCCGTTGATCAGGTTTTACTTCTCCATTGTATTTTAATCAGCCTGAAGTATGTTGGGTTTTTAAGCAAAGAATAGAAGCGTGTGATGAGGTCCAGCAGCTGCTCTCATCCTGAAATCCTCCTGAACTTACCTTCCCCGGGGTTCGAAGCTTGTGTTCGCCCTTCTCCCCCAAAGTAAAGCAAATTACATCATTCCCACTTTCACCTGCTTCTGTTTTCTCACCACAGCACAAGGTGTGCAGTAACCATGGCAACGGACACAACAGAAACTAAGCATGACATGCTTTTAGAGGTAACTGAACCCAGAGGCACAGGTAAATGGAAAATAGAGTGCTTTCTCAAACTTCTTAAAGAGACAACATGTTTAAATAAGCCACTCAGTGGGGATTAAACAACCCCAGATTGTCTCTTTAAGACCTGCATGGTGTGGTGATGGTTTGGTAGAAAAGGTTTACTGAAGTGTCTCCTTCTGCTGTGTTTAGTACATATCTCTGACTTTTCTGATCACTTCTTTCTTGCCTTTTTGAAATCTGGGGAAGTGACTGACAAACACATGTATGAGACTGGTTGTGGTGAAACAAGTACGACTGTTGGAGTTCTAGACCAGCTATTGCCTTATTAGCCCACTTTCATTAGAATAAAGATGGCTACTAAACTGGAAACTTTGTTAAACCTGTCACGATACGGTGGTGTGGACCCAAAATGCAGTACCCAGGATGACACGGAGGCAGGGATGAAGATTTTAAGTAAAAAGTCTTTATTTTGTGGGTGAGCCAGAAACCAAGGTAATCCAAACTGGGAGTCAAAATCCAAAAAGCCCAAAAACCCAAAGGTCAAAGAGCAGATTATTATCTGGGAATCAAGAAACTCTGGTTAAACACAGAGGGACTAAACTGACAGAATCAACAAACATTAATGGACCGACAAGAACACAGAGACAGACAGGGCTTAAATACACTGGGAGGAGCAATCAGGGAAAATGGCAGCAGGTGTGTGAAGTGAGAGCTGGAGGGAAGACAGGTGAACCTAATAATCAAAATGGGCAACAGAAACAGAGGGCCAAATAACCCTAAGAAACTCTAAGACACCAAAACTAAACCTAAAGGCTGCGGGAAGGACTAACAGCCACACACACACCAATGCACTAATATATAAACAGGAAAGGGGAATGGACAAACACACACACACACACACACACACACACACAGACAGACAGAGCAGGAGACTGAATCTCACA